AGCTGCTTGGCATTTCATTAAACTTAGTAAATCAAATACCACAATAGTATAGACTAGGGCAGATAATTCTATTGCCTTATAGACAGGGGGGTGGTTGTAGCAGAATATAAGGACTAATTAAAATTTTCTGCTGAATTACCTGGCCACAGTGGAAAAAACACACCTAGTAGCATCAAGCACTATGTAAGCAATAGAAATATATCCATTATGTCAATTAGAATTTTAAGCAAGAGCAGTGTTTTCGAGCTCACATTCTGCTTCTCTTCAGGATCAACATTCTCACAACAGAACCTACTAAATTAGAAAATGGATTAAACCAGAATTGTATTTTCAGAGGCAATGACAAGTTGATACTACACACTACGTCCTTGTGTTTCCAACTAACCCTGGCATTAAACTTTGGAAAACTCCATCCCTTATCCTTTGTGTGGGATCTTCTTCTGAAAAAAAGACAGGAACAGGGGAATTATTTCCTCAAGTCTCAAAAAAACCAAACCAAAACAAAAAAAGCAGCACTACTGAAAACATGGCTCCTCATACATTTATGTTTTATATATACACTCTGTCTCCTAAGCTTCTTACCTCAAGATCACTAACACTAGGGCATAGGTCTATGACATCTAAGCTCACCTCTGTGACAGCACACAGCACCTCATATTCCTTAAGTTCCACACATTTCCTAGTTTCCTAATCAAAGTCTAAAGGTAAGAGGTTATATGTACCACAGCTGAAGTTAAGCATGCACCTACTGCTTCAAGTATGGAGCACTACAGCTACAGGATAAGGACTAAGAGATGATTTCTCCTTTTCATCAATTTGGGTGCTACAGCAAGGAACTGTTTCCAGGTGTTCACGTTCACACTTCTGCAAGAATCTAGTATCTTTTGAGGCTGTCTGCTCCTCTGATTCAGCTGAAATTAGCTAATGGATTTAAAAACTGTTGTGGTAGTGGGGGAAAAGGTGATGACAACATTGCCAGAAGGACAAGAAGGTAATGCTAACCCAACAGTCTCACTTCCTTAGGAATTCTGGCTAAATATGGTAAAATAATTGAAAATTGCCACAACACTGACATTTTCACATGTGAAAATGTCATACTTAAGGTTACCTAAGCCTTTGTAGAGCTAAAAAAAAAAAAAAAAAAAAAATAATCAAAAACTGTGTACTCCCCAGGGGGTATTCCCCCATTTCCAAAGTAATAAAATTCCTGCATCTTAGACTCAGTACATCACATGATGTAACTGGCACAAGGCCAAATATTATCCAAAGGAAACATTTATGAGACAGGTTGATTTTTTTTTTTTTTTTTTTTTTTAAGAGAGCAATGGATAAGAAGTGCTCACAGGGTTGAAGTCTTTAAATCCATTTCAAAGTGAAATGGATTTGTGGATAGACTGCTTGCGTGATCTGTGCTTTCTATCATGCAGCTCTGCATTTTATCAAATTGATATCCTCCATAAAGTATATCCAGTGTGACAATTTAGAAAATTTATCTGTATTATTCTTGACACAAGTTTGACATACAAAACCAGCACAATGCTGAATACCTCAATATATGTATGCATGTACATATACACACTGAGCTAGACTGGACTGAATCACATTCCTTCTATACCAGGATTAATAATTATTGAACATGTACCTAAATGGAACCCATGCAGAACATAGTTTGTTTTATCTTCTCCTCCTGTCATCAAAAAGAGAGGCAATTCAGGAAATACAGGCTACAATTGGCCTCCACAGTGTAAAACAAGGCCTGGTTAAAAGCAGATCAGAGCAAGAAAGCTACAAACTACCTAGTCATCTCAATGCACATTGATACCCATCCCTGCAAAGTCATGGGAGCTTTAAGTGATGCTGGCAAGCATTGTATTGTCCATTGATGAGCCACGAATTCACTAGTATGTGCCAAGACACTGTGCTTCCATCTAACATATGCCTTACGTAGGACTCCCTCCTACAGTTAAGTTTCTACCAAGGGATTAATTTAACTTTAAACCTTCAGAAACATGTCAGCACACAGGTTCCAACTCTGCACTCCATGAACCCATATGGAAACCTTTGATAAAAGCCAGCACTTACAGTTCAGACTCTTAAAGCTTAGAAACACACAAGTGAACCAACTGACAGTAGCATGGAGTAGCATGTGCCTTGAATAAAGCCTGTATGATAACTCCCATCTTCAGAAGCATCTAGCATTATATTTTGTACTGCAGAGACAATTCTTTTACTTTAAATTACTTATTCAGGGAAAGTAATATATTTCCCTCAAAGTTTATAATTTGCATCCAAAGTCAAATCTGAAGTCGTCAGTTTGAAGTGGGAATGAATATGAGATGAAGCCTCTGAATAAATAATTTGATTTACTGTCCTTTACATAGAAAACATCATTCATCATGTGAAAACAACCTTTGTGAGAAAAATAGTAAACTCATTCTGAACCTTTGCATGCACTTTTTTGACACACTGTTTAAAACGAAGTCTAAAAGTTTAATGAAACGGTTTTTGCTTTTGACTGAAATTTCAAAAGCAGCTTTGAGATGTCACTATCTGGAAGATGTTTTTAATCAACATTTATTGGATTATTCAATATTTCAGACTGATGTCATCCTTTAGAAAAATGTACATGGATTGAAGGTAGAAAAGAAGCCAAACAATTGAATGTACAATACTTATAATTTTCAACAGATGGCACTTTATAGCAAGGAATGTATAGCGTCTAATTAAAAGAGAGCAAAAACAATTGGACGTCTCAGTGCATTGACGTGCCAAAGTCTGCATCTGAAAAAGCCTAATATCCTTAAATTTGAAAGTATAGTTCTATAAAACTGAAAGTAAAAAGAGGGAATCTAAAGTCAAACAAAAACTCTGAAGTAACATTCGATCTCAGATATTAATCACACAGAGATGTTTCCACAAAGGCAGGATATTCCCATCTTCTCTTCTTCTCAGGCAGAGTTTACAGGTAGGGTTAAATTTAGAGACAACAAAGAAAACATGACCATCAGACTATGGTTATTAATGCATACAAGCTCAGAAGAGAACAGAAAATCCTTTTAGTAATATGACTTAGAGTGCAGCCTTGTGCAAAACTTCACAGGCATTTTGATGTCTAAAGCTACACAGAAGATTTTTAGAACCATTTATGAGCTAAATAAACAAGAAAAGCCTGGGAGCATTGTTGTCTCTGAGTTTCAACTCAAGTTACACTTTTACATTGTCTGTCGTATTATCTAAGTGGAATGTGCTTACTAATGAGAGTCAGAAAAGGCAAACTGAGAATGATGACATTTAGAGAAATCCATGGGGAGCTAACAGTTATCTTCAGTTACCTAAGTGGTAGTTATAGAGAAAAAGTCACTCTTCTTGGAGATGCACAGAGAAAAGACAAAAAGCAATGGACAGAAGTTACAGCACAGGAAATGGCAATTAGGTAAATTTTCATAACAGAACTAGTTGAGTACTGAAACAGGCTACCCAGAGCATTTGAAGCTCCGTCTTTGGAGTTACTCAAAACTTGAGAAGGCCCTGAGCAAACTCATCTAGCTTCAACAATAGCCCTGCTTTGAGCAGGATGTTAAGACTACAAGAACACCGGTCCCTTTCAGGAACTTGTAGGATTCTGAATTTTTCAGTAGAAAATGCTACACAAAAGGATGAGACCCAACACCACATCCTCAGGGCATAACTTTTGAAAGATACTCCCTCAGTTATGACTGAGCCATATTCTCTCGGACTCCCAAAACAATCCTTCTCACAAAGGTAAAGAAAACAACCACCTTTTACCCTGTGATAATGACATTTCAACAGGATGCAGGAAGTCCTCTTTCTAGTAAAGGAGTGAGGACCGCATCTTGGTCTGAATCCTCATTCTGGACTAAACCAAAGTTTGATTTTAAAGTCACCTATTTTTCATATGTAGGATCTGGTTAGCAGGTAAGCTTCCCGTTTTCTAAGTTAATTTATGTAGTATCAACTCAGCAGCCACAATCAAGCAGCACTTAATATGCCAGACAAAATAGGAGCACCTCATGTAAATCCTGTGAGAGTTTACAGGTTAGATGTTAACATCCAGCAGTATACAGTACTGTTAAAAACATTCACGCCCATAAGTATAAAATGTAGGCACATACATTTAGAGTATTTCCAATATTAGGTGGCATGCAAGCAAAATTCTCATACGTCTGAGCTGAATCCTTAAGGTGATGTGATGTTCCAAGACCTTAAGGTCTTGGAACAAATGACCTTTCGTAGGCACATAACTGTATCAAAAGGTTATACTAAACATTATTTGTCCCAGAAACTTTTCCTGGAATACATAAAACCTTTTGTAAATCTATCCTCTGTACCTAAAAATCACTAGAAATTCCACAGAGAATTTGAAGGACAGAGGTGTGCTAATAAAGTAATAGAGATTAAGTTCCCCCCACTGTGCAAGGGAAAACTTCAGGTATAGGAAGGTAGAGGAAAGGGTAGTGTTATACCTCCACAGCATCTTGCAATGCAAGTACTGGGCCACAAAATGCCACGATAGCTATATTCTTTTCTGTTCCTGAAGGAGGCGTTCTTTCTCCTGATAGCAATCAAAAAATTTAGGCACATAAGAATCTCATTCAACAGCCAAGAGACAAACCAGCAGCAGTCAAAATACAGCAGAAATGCAGCAACTACAGGAAACTGAAAGATTCCAAGCCAGATATTGGCCTTGTCAGGCTTAGAGCTCTCATGAAAACACAGCTGTAATTTTAGCACACTTTCTCCCCTTCATTAGTAGGAGCAGGTTCATCTCTTGCACAGATGAAAAACTCCATACCCAGATGAACTGAAACACAAGCTGTTGCATACTTCATACGTTCAAAATCAACTGGCCCAGATACTTTACAGTTAATTTTAAGATTGATCAATGATTTTGGTGGCAAGGAAAGCCTTAGTAATCTGATATTTACAAACTCTGCTCAGAATGAAGAAGTTCTTTCCATACAGCTTCATCCAACCTTAGTGCTTTAAAAATTTATGCCTCAATCCATTTAATTAGTGAGAGACTTCCATATATCTGATTCAGGCTGCTTCCAGTCTTCTCCCATTAGTCCTTTCAGGTTCAAATCTTTGAAAAATTCCAGACGATGACTGTAAAGAGAGGAGAAATAAACAAAAAAATTGTAAGTCTTATAGTATGTGTCTTAATAAAAGGCAGCAACCTCAATAGGTTTAATTAATTTTTATTTTCAGGTTTTCTTGGACAGGAATGTAACCAGCATTCCATGTGCTCATTTTCCAAAACTTGAGTTTATAAATAAAAAACACTACTGTGTTTCTGAAAACCTTGTACTGGAAAACACAAGGCAAAATCCTCAGCTATGAACAAGTATCACACAGCAAAATCCTCAGCTATGAACAAGTATCACGCAGCATAAAGTGAAGTTAACAAAGCTCACCTTTTAAACTCCCTCAACTTACGTTGCCTGGAACTGCAGTCAGAGCAAAAGCACAGTGACCCTGTTTTACGACTTATCCACACTCCAACAGAGTAAAAATTGAAAAATCCTATCACAGGAGTATCCTTTCATTACAGAAAAGAGTAAGACTGGATAGGATAATGAAGGTAGTAAATATATTTTTGCTGTAAGACTAAAAGTCTTGTTTTCTTTTAAACATTATGAACCAGTTTTTGCTAAGGATTTCTCCTTTAGGCTACCATAAAGACACAATAGAAGGAAGACACTGAAGCCAATTGCTAATTAATACTTACATGAAACAACTACCAAGCAGTAGACGGAACATCTGACACTACACTAATCATTTAAAAAGGTAAATGGAATTCTCTTATTAGGAAATCATTTGTAAGAGTAAAGACAAACTAAGAGCAATGAAAGTAGCAGCAACCTCTTCACATAATTGCATCTGCTACCAATGCCTGAAAAAGTCAAGGGTTTTTTTGGAAGGGATATTATAGAAAGAATAGAAAGAATCCCTTCCTGAAAAATACTACAGGCATTTTGCAGTTTACCACAGAAAAATAAAAGTATCTATTTCTTTCAGACACTGATAAAGAGAATGTATTTTATTATCAATAGCTTAGAATTTTTTTAAATAAACAGTTGCAGAAGCTAAGTTTTCCTTAAATAAAGGCAAAAAAAGTAACTTAACTAAAATGTACTTTACCTGGCTGTCATTCTATGTTGAGTAACAAGTTTGCATAGGAACTATAGTGTACCTTCTAGAGCTAGTTCATTTATACAAATGTCCAGAAGTAGCAGTTTTTATCAAATCATCTCAGCCTCACAGTCAAAGAAAATAAACAGGCCCAAAGCACAATTTAAAAATCAAGATATTCTAGTTTTTCTGTTGATATTGGGTATCCTTTTATTATACTTTTCCATTCAGTCTGCATTTTCAAATTTTTCTATAATATGGAACCATCTGTAGAGGTGAGGTTGCTTAGAACAGTAGGGGAGAAGCAAAAGAGATTTATTGGAAATGTATCTGGTGAAATTAACACTAAATGGCATTTCAGGAGGTGCTGGAGGCAAGGAAAAAGTAGAACAACCTATCTATGATTTAGCTGAGGAAGGTGATAAAACAGATGCCAATGGTGTTGAATGCATCATTTTCTATGAACCTAGGGGATAATATAGAAATCAAGCACTAATTACAGCTATCTGCCACAGTGCTTTATACAACGTACAGTACCAATGGATCTGTGGCTAAGCAGTATAATTAAAACACTAGCGGCACTCAATCTGAAAACCAGATTATCTTTAAGTATTCCAAGAATAGTGCAACTATATTACAAAAAAGCTAGTTTTATGCTTACAAATCTGGTTTCTGTCCTTCCTGTAGTTCATGTCGAGGTGCAGGATGAAGCGCTTCATATTTTCTCTCTTCTCCTGAGCCATGAATTGCAAATGCATTGAATTTGTTAGTGCATGGTGGAAAACAATTCCATGGAAGATGAGCTTTACCCTCCCATTTGGTTTTCATTCTGGTCACCTCAAACTCTAAAGGAAGTTCTTCCTGTTAAAGGAGGAAAAAAAAAAAAAGAAAAAAAAAAAAGAAGAGGAGGTGATGTCATCTTCCAATCAGGCAACAAGTACCTAGAACCAGTTAGTTTTTCTGTACATTATGAAAGTACTTGACCACCTACTTTCCATACTCTTCTTTTGCCAGAAAGCAGCAGCAACAAGTGTTGTCCATGGCTGTCAAAAAATCAGAGCAAAATTTTCTTAAACTGATACCAAGTTATTAGTGTACTGTTCTGCCACAAATATGTACATTCCCCATACTGGAACAATTTCTGTACCCAGTCTTCCTCATATGTCTATCTTAAAAGCATTAGAACTGGAAATGCAAATTTAAATTTGTGACTTGTTCAGAGTGCTGTACTTACGGACAAAGTTCAACTTCTAAATACTGTTCAGTTCTGTCACTCAGGAAAAATGCTTCTACAACTAAGAAAAAACAGGTTGTCAGTATTTCATGTTAACTGTTTTGTAATATCCTAAGACTTTTGTAACCCACTAAAACAATTCTGTTTTCATGATTTTTGGCCTGTACCATGCCAGAGCTTGACTAGCTGTGTACATGCTACTGACAGCTTCCTAACTGTTCAAAATGCTGTGCCATAATTGTAAATTCAAGAGCTTTTATTTTTAATGCCTATCATCATACAGAGCTTTATAAAGCACGGTACTAACTTTATTTACTTTACCAATTCCAGCTTTGGAAACACTTATCTTGATGCAGCAGAAAAATATGGCAAGTCTGCTAATTAACGTTAGCTGTCCATGGAGTAAGAAAAGCATCAGCACACGGCTATTTCACCTAGTATGCTTGCTGTGAGCAAAGCTGACCAAGATAAGAGTGACCTCAGTCAATCACACTCACAGCAGGCACTCCAGGTAGAGCACTTAAGTGCAGAAGTCTTGTGTGCTGGTAGCCTGAGGATTCAGAGCACCAGAGACTAGGAAAAAAAAAATATATATATATATGAAAAGAGAAACATACACTCACAGAAGAGCTGACACCCCATAACTAAGAGTGCTAAATCTCAGAAATAGTAAAAAAGCATTTAGCTCTTAAATGGTTTTGCCCTGTACATGGCCGATACTTTGGACAGGGGATTACTGTTCCAGGTGTACCTGAAAGCCACATGTGACTGTTGAATCACCTTTCGGGACCACAAGGTAGAACTATAAAGGTGTTTCTCACAGCAATGACATTATTAGAAAGCTTTAGTTAGAATCAGAATTAGATATGATAATGTTATTTATTTTTACATAAGCCTATTTAGTACAGTAATATCAAAGAGGTGCTAATACTGCTTTAGTAGAGCTTTAATCAAAATAGTTCAATAATCAGGAAGTGGAGAACTGCTGGAATCATTGAATTCTTGCATTATTCAAAGCACCACGTAAAAGTGACAGCATTGACAGGAAAGAGAAATAAAACAGCATTATTATAAGAATATTCCCCATTCCATTCGGGTACAATTTTGAATCATTTTATCAGCTGCTATTTCTTTGTTTCACACCTTCCTGTTTGTCAAATAGGCTCTGGAAAACTGATTAAAATAGACATATATTTTAGCTATTGCTCTCTACTTCTTAAAGCAAAAGTAGAACCTACCTTTAGGATTTCACTTCCATTTACCTACTGCAAATGCATTTATATATATGCCACAAAATTATTTTGATATTCAAATATGTCAAGCCTCTGTTATTCCACAAGTTATATGAGCAACCCAGAAACTAAGTTTAAGCGCCGATACTATTGACAGGATCAGGAAGAGTTAACCTCATCATTCTTGAAATCAACCCAGCTCATTGGACTCCATTTCTTTATGGCCACCGAGTGACATAACGTATTTCCTTTGTTTCCGAGTCATTTGTATTGTTGCACTGCTATAAAACAACCACCCACCTTACAGTCAGTAGTGCTAGTGATGAAAATCAATTCACCACCTAGAAAAAAGAGCACCACTCTTGATACAGTTTGGGGTAGTTTTCAGCTGAATATAACATGAAGCTTATAGTTACTCAAGGAGCCGTTTAAGGGTAAGGCAGTGATTACAACTAAATTCTTTCCTAGTATTCTTTCCCAGACTGCTCAGGATATAACAGAAAGGAAAACTTTTACTTTGCATTTCAGATCTGATCTTTAAAAGCAGTACTGTGACCGAAGAAACGGAATTGAATTATATGTCATACACTCACAACTGTTAGATCAGTTTGAAAAAATAACCATCACAGATTCTTAAATAAAGATGAGGCATATTAACTACAGAGGAACATCAGTGCCTACACAAATTGGATATATTTGCAGCAGAACAGTTACACTTACCCTCATAGTCCCACAGTCTACTAAAAGGTTTCCCTGGCTCTCCAAGCGGTGCTGGAGGGTCATCAAAGAAGGGAGCATTAACTTCCATTAGCAGTCCTGCATTGTTCGACTTCAGCCCAATTGTTACCGGCTCATGGCTCACAGGTAAACCATCCCAGGTGTGTTTAATTGTAAATTCCATCTTCATATACTACATAAACGAGAAAGGAAGGTTCTGTCAAAGGAGATCTCAGATTCCATTTCAGTACAAACTGCACTGTTCGCTTGTCCAGGAAAAAAAAAAAGCACACTTTTGCACAAAGTCAATCATCAAATCATGTTTTTAGACATCAGAAGAACTGAAATAGTTTAGCTTTATAAAGCAACTAAATAAACAGTTACACGAATGCTTTTCATAGGTTTTTATACCTGCATGGTTACAAATCACTCTCAAGTCTTACCAAGCTTAAGGCATTTCAATTATGTACCTAAATAAACACCTTCCAAAATCATCAGAAATATTTATCAAGAGAACAGATAAACAAAACAAAGTCTCCACTACATTATCTTAGATGATTTGGTAACATGAGAAAAACAGATTGAGAAAAACCTTTCATGAATCTGAGATGCAAGAAAAGGAAACAATTAGCTAAAGCTTTCCTTCATGGTCATTGCAAACCAGCCAAACTAAAGGATTTCAAGGAAAACTGCAAGCACATATTGTTAAACACATTGAACATTTGCAGAGCAGCAAGAACAGAGACTACTGCACTCCAACAGCTGTTGCTACTTAGAAATAACTGTACAAACCTTAGGAATAGCCTTAATCTATTTAATAAGCAAAAGAACGAGTGGAGCCCAGCTTCCAACAAGTTTATGGCCCCTTACCCCTCCACTCCTCACTATTATGAGTTCCTTCCCATCTCCACAAAAGTGATCCTTGATTTGTTCCCTTACACACCCCCTAGCCATACAAGAAGGGAACTGGCAATACATAGCCTGACTGAGAATTATGCACATGCTGTTAAGTCTTGTGACCAGAGAGGTGCTAGCTCAGTAGCTAAATTGTAACCACGTTTCCTTCAGTGGGGAACACTAAATCAGGTTATTTAACCTCTATCCAGATACCCATTTTCTTGGGACTCACAGAAGGGTAAGCATAACTTACGACATTCTGCAGGTGTTATCAAGAGGTGTAGTACATGAGACAGAATGTAACCACACGCATCACACTTCCCTATATGCCATAGCCTTGCTCTTAGGACTACACATTAACTGTCTCATACCCTCTGCAACAGTCACATCAGCCAATTTCCCTGCACTGATGTTCATGATGAAAAGCACCAGACCCCCTCTCTTTGAGTTCAAGTTGGTAAAATAGCTAGAATGACGTTAGGTTAAGTAGATATACTCACAGTGAAGGAGATGATGATCTGACCAAGGAAGTGTGACAGATAAGAGAAAATCTGAAGCAATAGATTTAGTAATTAGACACCTTAATTTAAGAAGTCCAGTAAAAAAGGAAAGTCAAATATGGGACTATCACTTTTGACAAAGTTATATTTAAATAAACTGAAAACTAATTAAATTCTTACGTCAGCATTTTAACTGCATGATATGCTAGACAAGCATCATCAGATGTGCTTTATGCAAGAGACCTGAGATAGCCCTAGAAACTATGAAAGACTACCATCATTAATGTTCACTCCAACTCAAGGAGCAAGTTTCTGGAAGCAAGATGACACAAGTTGAAAGAAAAGAGTGTACAAAGCATGGGAGAGAAGACAACCAACAGTGTCCTAACGGCATTCTTAAGCCAGCAGAAGCTGGCTCACAGTCCAGTATTAGCAGTTAACTCAAACAGGCAAAGCTAAATCACCCACAGTTTAAAACAAAAAGAGAGAACTAGTAAGAAAAAGTATTCTGGGCAAGTACAGTGACAACTCTTCTGCAATAATTACAATGTACACCACCAAATAAAAAAGCAGTATGTTAAATAACAAGTCCCTTTCACAACACAAACAGCTGCTGAAACATATCCAATGGGCTATATAGCCTTAAACTGATCTAGAAAAAATTAATCCACAGGAAATGTGGACAAGTGTTGTGTTTTTAATTTTGTAAGCCGCAAACACTGAGCAGCAGGAGCATGAAGTATCCACAGATGGTAAGACCATTCCTAGCGTTTTTTGAAATGAACAGAATTCCTGTAAATGGAGTGCACAAGCTTTACACACACTTACTGTGAAAGGAAACAAGACAGAATTCCACAAGCAGGATCACTTACTCAAAAGAGTGAAGTTTAAGAGTAGATGGGTGCATCTAAGAAAGTTAATAAAGTGTTATGAACCCATTTTTTACTACATTATTAAATTAACATTATGCACTTAGAAGTCAACGTTTCCTTCTATTATTCTGTTTTCAGTTTGTGCTAATATATTTAACTATTTCCATTCACTGGTCAAGGCAAGTATCTCAAACACCTATTTGAAAACACTGCCAGATTTCAACAGTGGTTTAAAATAATATAGCCTTCTAATAAAAGTAGCCTGGGAAGATCTTAAAATCCAGGGAGAATTACATGACTAGCTATTACAATTCCTGACTGAAGTAAGCAATGTGAAGCTTCTTCTTGTGCACAAGATTTGAAAAGTTGTCTCAGGAAAAAAGTCACAACATACGAAGTTTTAAAAAAAAGCAGTGAAATAATAGAATCTGCTAAACAACTTTAGACACACTACTGTAACTGTAGTGTTTAAAATGAAGATGAGACAAGACGCATCACAAATTCCTATTTGTACCTATATGAGAGACAGATGACTTTTTTTGGTAAAAACCTTAACTCCTCCAGGGACAGCTTACAGTGTACTGAAACGAACATACTGAAGATTTAGCCCATTGTTGTAAACCAATATTACTCTTGAAGAACACGCAATTTTAAAAAGAACCATAAAGCTTTAAGGAAAATTGCAAAACATTCACTAGCTTTTTTTAGAGGTCTACCTAGTGCTAAGGTTGCTCAATTTACAGGACAGCAGATCTAAGAGTTTCCAAATTAATGGCCCTTGGTGCAAGTTTTAAGTTTATTACATTGCATGGACTTAGGTAAGCTGCTTACTAGCATGCTTTTAAATCATAATAAAACCAGCAACACATAGCAATGGCGTAAAAGTAAATTAAAACAGGAAGAGGAGACCTTTCATTACCTTTTAACACTAGACCTCAGCCAGTTGTTAATACACTGTAAAGAGATGCAAACGCTAAACGAGATAGTTTTACAGCAAGTACTTTCTCAGCCATTTAAAAGCACTCACACTGCATGGCCACAAGCTACCACCTGGCTGATATGCCTAGACCTCAGCCACATGAGCGTCACACCTCACCAGCAAGGAGAAAGCTGCTGCTGCTTGTCGCTGTAATCACCTCATGTCTCTCCTTACCGAGAGGATTGACGTCTTCCATCCCAAACCCTGTCGACGTTAGTAACGACAAAACCAAGAAGGAAGTAATTACGGTGGCATTTTTTCTTACTTGCTCCAAGAGGACAGGGAGAAAGTTAGCAATCGAGTAAGAGAGAGCAGCTTTTAATGTAGCTAAGACTTCATTCTTAGACACAGGCACGAGCTCCCAGAGGGCTCGAAAATTCCCGGTTTCGGTCGTCCCCCCCCCACCCCAGCCACTAACAGCAGCAGCGTTTCCTGAAGAGAAATTCAACCCCCAAGCTCCTCAGAGAAGTTTAACGAGAGATTTCTCACACCTCCAAGCAGCCGCTGCGACTCCGAAAAAAAACTCGGCTCCCCAACAAACCGAGCCTTTCCCCTTCCCGCCTTCCCCCGCCACAACCCTCGGCCCTGACCAGCAGCCGCCCAACAGCGCGCATGCGCGCACACACCCACCCTCCCTCCTTCCCTCACCCCCGCCCAGCCCGCCCCTTTTCCGAGGTTGGCGGGCTCGGTCGCTCCGCCGCCACGTGACCGACGCACTGCTCGGGGCCGAGCTGGTCGCTAAGGGAAAAGGCGGCGGTGGCTGGTAGCAGCAGCAGCTCGCGGGGCGGGTAGGTGGGCGCGCGCTGGCCCCCGCCGCGAGGCAGGCCCCGCCTTCGGCCGTTAGTCGTGATGGGGGCGCGGCGCCAAGCGGGGTTAACCGTCGCTGAGGCGCTGTGGGGGGGGGGGGGGTGCCCTCAGGGCCGCCCGCCGCCCGGTGTGGTTCCTTCGTCTCTGGGCGGTGGTGGTGGGATTGCCGCGCCGGGCTGAGGGGAACGGGTAGATGTAGAGGGGGAGGCCGTGGTTACTGCCTCCGCCCCGGCCAGCTGCAGCCTTACAAAGGCTTTACTTCACGAAGTGGGAGCCGGTAGGTGAGGGGGAGCGCGTCCCCGGTGTTTGGAAGTTATTGTCTCTCATTTTTCTTATCCGCCGGTAGAGGTGAAAGCCCGCCGGGCAGCGGGGTTGGCGAGCGGCTGAAATAACCGGCTTTCCGTCGGGTTGTTGCAGGCTTTTCCTGGGGAGGAACTCTCAGCGGCGGTGCAGCTTTTCCCCTGGAAATATGGCCACTGAGCTCGGCAGTGGGGGAGAGCCCGGTGAGGTCTTGGCGAGCGGTCAGCTTCGTGGGCTGCCTGCCTGCTCCCGACACATCGCGGGTTGGCTCGGGTGCTGCTCCGGGGCTGTTCGAAGGACGGAGCTGAGCAGCCGAGGCCTGGACCCTGCCTCTCCGGAGCTGGGGTCACTTTCTACAGAGGGTAGAAACCCTTTTGCCTGTGGTCGTAGCGATGAAGATTGATATTCAGTAGCTCTTCTAGTGTTTGCTATAGTGAATAACAGCATCAAAGCTACTTTTTAGTTAGCTGAAGACTAATAATTAAAAGCTGCTGCTGAGGGTAATAGCCAAAAACAGGTGCATTTTGTGTGATAATGCCTCTTTTCTCCAGTTAAGAGACTACTGTGTTTCCTATGCTTGTCTTCCACCTGAAAGGCAAAAAAGCTGTCTTGCCAGTTACTCATAAAATTTCTTTTACAGTCTAAAATCAATATTTTTAATTCTGTGTTATTTGTTACAATTTTGATTATTTTAATGTAAGATTAATATGACTGAATCAGAGTACACTTTCATTCCTTACCAGCAAAATACTGGCAAAATTACTTCTACACAGTTTATATTACTATAAGTAAGGAGTGGTTTGATGTGTAGTCCCAAGAACGTTACTGTCAATTAGTGTTGCGGGAAAACTTGATAGCACAGCAGGAAGTAGGATGAGATCACAGTGCATAAAGTGCTATGGCTGTGCATCACTCAAAAATCAAAATTTCAATTGGTATTAAACTTTGTGTGACAGCTTTGGGTGGCCAAAGGTGAAAAAACAGCTCTTGATTCCAAGGACTGTAGTAGCAGAAGAGCTTCTGTCTGAGCCAAACAGACTCAAAAGATATGGCTCAAAAGCCCATATCTTTATCAAGCTTTGCATGAGTATTTATTATACTGTGATGTGAACAAATAATGGATTTTCAAATACTGGTATTTTGCTTTTTTATATCTATCTAATTTGTCTGAGTGTAGCTTCTTTAGTCTGTAAATCTGTAGGCTCTAAATAGAGCTCAGGCTAAGTTCACTGTGAAGTGGTAGGAGTTGCCTTTTCTATCAAGGAGTTGAATTCTCTCTTTTAAAAAACTTTATACATTTTGAAAGGTGCCAAATGATAAATTTGAAGTTGGCTTGTATGCCAACTGAGACATAAGTTATTTGAGGCCTGCTGTAAGTCTGATATATGGATTGATGTTTCTCCTGTTTTATGAATGTGAAATTGAAGTTCTAAAATGCTGAATGTGTGTAATACACACAGGAAGAGATTCTCCAAGCATCATTATTTTTAAAGTTGTAAGTATTTGTTGTGTTAAATATGTAGCTGTAAAAAAAGGTTCTCCAAATGAAAAGCTAGTCTCTGGCACTGATCAGTTATAAATTGAGTTTTACGTGAATGCATTTTGAATTATCAGCAGCCAACCCTACAAATAATAATTCCTCCATTTCAATACATATTTTTGTGATACTACTGAAGACATACACCTTTTATCAGAATGTATTTAATGATTCACTGTTGAAGGTGAGTATGTCTGTAAGGGGTGTTTAAGATTTGTCCCCTTTTGTAGCTGTGGCTTCTCATGTTTGCAGACTGCTTTGGTTGATGTAGGCTGCTACTTTTCCTCTTTCCTGTTCCTTGGCATCCTTTTACTATTACCTCCTTTCTATACCCTCTGTCTTTTTGCTATATCCTCCTTTAGAGGATGAGAACCAGAAAAAGAACCATTGGGATGTGTATTAAAAAAAAAAAGGCAAGAAGTTGTTTTAAATCAAAATGTTTGCAATACCTTCCTGACTTCCTTTTTCTTCCCCTTTACCCATTCCAGTTACAAAGGTGTTACTCAGGTTCTTACGGTTTTGTTAGATGAAAGAACATTCCATGAACAAGAGGGAAGAGCTATTATTTCTCCTTTCCAACCTTCTGCTGGTTCTTTTAGAGACTACTTGTACTACAAATTAAATCCTAATAGCCAAAGTTAGATGAATAAGGGGGGAGAGTGACGCCTTAGTTGATGTTCCTAACTTAGCAGTGTGAAATCTCATTATTCATTATTCTTTGCTTCTTTCAGAAAAAGCAGATACTGGCAGACTGCGTTTCTTCATTCTTGTTTTGCTTTCATCTGGCTATACTTGAATGCTCAGATCCATTTATCAGCGAAGCTCTTGACCTAAGTTTGTTGAATGTTTATTGAGAACTGCAGGGTTGAGTTCCCAACAACAGGTTAATTGTCAAACATCCAGCTAATTGAATTGGACACACAATGTGATTTTTTTGCATGTAGACCTCGTGAATCATTAAGATGTGTGTTTGTGAGTTTTCTAGGCAGAAACTTCATTTTTTAAAATTTCTAAAAGAAAACAGAAGGAATATGGAAGAAATGGAATTCATTATTATTACACAGCCTTTAGGCTTTTTCAAGTCCTATTTTCATTAAAATAATTGTGCTAAATTGAAGGCACACAACTGCTTCATAAAATTCTTCTAAGCACTACACTGTTAAACATATTTCTGACTGCCAGTCTGGTTTATCTAGATAATGGCCTGTGTTGTAGCTATGATTCTCAAACTTTGTGTTTTTCAGATCAGGGGCTAAAGGTGGCACTTGGACAGTATGAAACAGATGAGATTTTGAGAGCTACTGCTGAGCAAGTATGTGAACGCAGGGATGGAAGTAAGAATTTTTGTGATGAGGTTTTGAGACAAACATCTTTGCATACGTAGAGCACAGCCCACTTTAACGTGGCCTGGCCTTGCTTTAGGTCCATCACACAACTCTAGAGTTGCTTGTTGTTTTTCCAAGCAGCAGAATAAATCTGTCATAATGGTGAATTCTGGTATTTTTGGTGCATTTTGAAAAGTTTGTCATATGCAGGAGAACATACCCCTGAAGTAATACTTGATTTCTACTTTAGTAGACTTTTTCACTTTTATAGACTTCTCTTTTCCAAGACATTTGTCTCCTGCGAAGATAACTTTTTGTGCTGGGTACCATAAGCTTGTCTAAAAGTCTGTGCAGGAGCTAGGGCATCAGCACTTTCCTGATGCCGAGATGCATGGAAATGAACTAAGCACTTACACAAACTTATGATTGTTCTTTTAAGAGCAAGATGATTCCCCCTCGCATGCAATTATGCTTTATATCAGAGCATCTCCAGGGAAAAAAAAAAATCAGAGTTTTTTGAAATTGGGCCAGCACTCAAGGATTTTTGAACATAATCCTGGAAGTGGTCATGTGGGATATTGTGTATGATTACAGTACAGGCAGAACAACAGCTTTGGGTTGCATGTAAAAATTTAAAACTATATGCAGTCGTGTGCAAGTACTAATATGTAAAGTATACCATTACAGCAAAATGCCTCTGGTGGTGATGGCATATCAGGATCCAGGATGATGGACCAAAGGTAACTAATTGCAAATTATAAGTGGGAATACTACCAAGTATTATCAAAAGAAATTGACATGTGCTTTTAAAAATGTAAATATCCAGGTGAACCTGGTCTTATGTATGTGTGTTCACAGCTCTGAGAACTTGTGAATGGAGTCTGTAAAAGTGTTCCTGTAGCAGTTGGTTTTAGACACTATTCTGTTTATTCAGTAAATTATATCTATTACTTTTCTTCCCCAATCTGTAAAATAAAAGGTGGGAGATGAATGAAGGAATTCTCTAGTCTAAATTTTAAGATAATAAACAAAAGTACAGGTAAGATTGTGCTGATCTAGGTAACACAGGTAACTGCTGTCTGTTGAGGTCAGGTGGATGTTTTTGAAAATGCTTATTTGACAATCTTCAACTAACAGTTGCCTGTTGGCAAATGGTTTAATAATCATAGTCATTTTGTGTTACAAAAATAACCTATCCTTTCTTGTTAGATTTTAAGGCATTATCACTCTGGACTAATACAGAATTTTCAGAGAATTACTATCAATCACAAAAATATTAGGAGGGAAAAAGTATATAAGTAGAACTACATTATTTTACGTTGTCTTATAGGCCACTTTACTGTTGCATGTGGCAGCAGTAACAAAGCCTAGTCTTAAGTCATTTGGGATTCTATGTATGAAATATTAATGTTACATTAATGCTCATTTATAATGTCCCATGTTCTAATTCTGTTATACGGGAAATCTGCTATTACTGATCATACTTTAAAAGTAGTAATTAAATTTGTTCATTTGATTCTGGTGAATGTTGAGCTTGGAAATAAAGAAAAGTGACTGTTTTGTTCTGTTCTCTAGATTAAGAATTCTTTAAAACTAGTTAAATACAAGAACAGTGTTTCAGTGTATACAAAATTTATTCTAAGCATGTATTTCAACTTTTTAGCTTGTCAACTCTAATCACAGAGTATGATAAACACTTGGAAGAAATGAGACAACAGCTGCAGCTTTATCAGGTATGGATGTTCCTAATGTTTCAGACTGTATATCCTTAGTATTTTATAGTATTAATATCTAGGCCATTAGTTTTTGTCAATAAAGGAAAGTATGCCTGCGCCATGCTTCACAAACTTGCTGGACTGCTATCTGCCTCAAATGGAAGAACAGAGAGCTTTCTATGGAAAGGTTGGGAGATTGTCCAAATTGCACAGATTACTGTGTGTTTGAAGAAGTAGTGTTGTGAAATGAAACATGCATGTTTTATTTCTCTAGATGTTCTTATATGGTTGCAGGTATTTTCCTAGGTGACGTTCAGATGAGGCAGCTGTTTCTCTCTTTCCTTACAGGTCTGACCTTGGCCATGTGGTCCAGTGCAGTCCTGCAAGTGTAGATACACCCAGCCTTTTTCATTCTTAATAATTCTTCAGATTCAAATAATTCTTTAAATGTTTATTATCATGGAGGCTGAGATAGAGGGGGACTGTCCTTATTTCAGCCACAGAAAAATGAAACTTTTGGATGCTTCATATGATCACTGAAAAGCAAAATGACATGTTTAATAATTAAAACCTGTGGCATACAGAAAGCAATTTTTACTTGTGATCTACATGCAGAAGTTATACTCTGGTTTTGGTTTAATGTGCTTAATTTGTTTGATCTGTCCATCATAAAGATTCTGCAAATGCAGTCTTCAAGTTTGGCTGATTTCAGAAGGCAATAGAAACACTGCGGTTTTGTTGCACTCTTTAGTTAACAAAACAGTTCATTTGACTCATGTAACTGAAGTTTTTCCTCAGTTCATTCCTGAACTCTTTTCTCAAATGCTTACTGCATAAAAGACAAGTTATCCACTGTATCCCTAAAAGAACTCGAGTTAGTTAAGAATCCATCTGTAGGAGCTATAAGAGTTCCAAAAGGTAACTTTAATGCTTGTAATAACTTCTGAATGCTGAGGTATAACAGGACTTAGCAGCTGTGAAATTTAAGTGGTATCCTGTGACTTTCCTTAAAGGAAGTGACTTTCATTTACTGTGTTATGCTGAATTAAATTGTCCATCTGTTACAGTATCAGTCAGAATTAAAAGGTGAAAGAATCACCAAAGTTTGTGTCACTTAAATGAGTGCTTACTCTTGCGTACTTTTGTGTAGGTGCAAATGAATGAGATGAGACAAAAATTTGAACAAGTCACCAAGGAAAATGAAAGGTAAATAATTGCACTGCCCTGTTACTACTGCTGTTTTTCTTGATTTCTAAACCCTAAAAAGCTTTTTTCTAGGACCTTGAAATCTTTTGAATCTACTTAATAGTTGAAGATTTCATACTCGTGAGCTTAATGTGAGAGTCTTTAAGTGCTTAATATAGATTACAGCACCAGGTCTGGGAGATGTAACCATATCTCTAGAACAACTAGATATTAAACTATTTCAAATTGTCTATTGTGTTTGTAGAAGGTAATTTAATAGATTAAAATATGACTTAGAAGTAAATAGTACATACAGATTGAAGGTACGGTATACTTCAGTTGTTAAAAAAAATTCCTGTTGGAGAAATGCTTCGCTGAACTTGGTTCTTTGAATTTCAGGCTGCATGCAGAGTTGAAAGAGGCCCTTGAGAAGCAACTGGAGGCTCTTCCTTTCATGCCTCTGGGAACTGATATTCCTGCAGATGAAGGCATAGTGAGAAACCTTCAAGAACAACTACAACTTACAAATCAAGTGTGTGACATGAAACATTTGTACTGTTTTATTTCTCTTGTTGTGTCTTGGCAGATTAGGGGAAGCTGGTTTATTTGTTGGTTCAGAATTCCTTTGTTCAGAGTTCCTTGAGACTATTTTGGGGTCCTCTTGACTTTCTGTAGCTGAAGAAACAAGTACTTATACTTTGAACTTAAAGACCTGAAGGAACTTCTTTCCTAGATTCATATAAGTTTTTTATGTTAATTTGTGCCTGTAACTTTAGCTACTTGACTTGATCTTTATATTGAATTCCTGACCAGGAAATTAGTGAAGTACTTTGTTCAATTCAAGTTTTTGTAGTAGCTTGTCATTTTAATCACAAACATTGTCATGTGATACAAGGAGGCAAGTATATGTGGTATATAGAAAGTAATATTTAAATCTGAAAAGGTAAGCAAGTCTTCTTGAGCTTATTACAATGATGTATCAATCCTTTGTTGCCTATGATTAAGTTGAAGTTAAACTGACAGTTGAATTTTGGTATTTGAATATTATATATACCGTAGGCCTACAGTAAATACCTGTGAAAGTTTGAGCTATTAAAAAAAAAAAAAAAAAAACCACCCAAAAAAACCAAACAAAAAAAACCAAAAAACCGCTAGAAAACTTGCAGTTCACTTGTAGGTGGAATTTGATGAACTTGTAAGCATCTGTTTTTCTGCACCTAAATTTGGTATTTTGTCTGTGTAGTTGTAATGTGTGCAGAGAAAATTACAGAAACTGGCATTTCTTCAAAATAGAAGATCTCTCTTTTTAGAGAATGATAGATGAAGGTAAATGTGCTATAATAGAATATTTTATACAAACCATTGTTCTCTAACTTAGGAAAAAGAACAAGCAATAGAGCTCTGGCAGACTGTATTGCAGGAGCATGATCGACTCCAGCGGCAGTACCAGGAACGCATGACTGAAACGCAGATTCATGTGGCTGAAAGGCAAAAGCAGAAAGTAATTTTCATTTACGTTTTTGTTAATTTTGGAATGTCTTTCTATGCTGTAGAGATTCTGGGTTTGTGTGTAGTCAAACGGAAGTGGGGGGGTTCTACCAGTACTGTTAATTATTTTCCATAATAGTCATCTAAAGTTGAGTGGTCAGATGTGGTCACTGATTCATCAGCTAAATACAGTTAGAATTGGAAGAGTTCTTTATTCCAAATATATGGGCAGGAACTTGGGGAATGCACTGAGTCTGAGTCTTGGTGCGTGTATATGTACCCAATATATGCATGTGCATATAAATAATCATGTGTTTGAATTGCATGGTTGGAAATCTTCAGTAGAGCTCAACATCTGAAAAAGCTGCTAAAGATTTCCAAGTTGTGAGGTGGAAGTCTTCCATGTTTTCTCCTATTTTTGAATCCTGAATTTTGTCTGTAAGATCACAGTGGTATAGTAGGAAAAGTAGTCTCTGTTTTCTGTTGTTATTCAGTAAAGAAGTGTGTGAAACAAATGAAAACTCAAGTTCACCAGTATTCTTCTAATGCTAGCTTGTGTTTAGCAGTCTGTTTCTGGGGAAGACCTGTCAGGAAATCTTAGTTCAGAAAAGCTGTTGTGCTCTGATGTGCTATATAAAGATGGTGTGAAAATTGTGCTGTATAAAGATAGTGTGAAGAACTAATAGAAACTTCATGCCTGTATGTACCTCGCTGCAGATATTTCTAGGTCTGTAAAGAGATGTTACAATTTTTTTTTAACATTTCCTTTCCATTTTCAAGTACCCTATACTTGTGGGCACAATTACAGCTTACCTACATAACAGAAATTTTTTTTTTACTGATTTTGGTTCTTTTGTGGTATTAAGTCCACCTCACCAATATGTTCTTTTCCAAGAAACAGGAAAAATATCTGTACAGCTATTGTACGCTTTCAAGTTTCGTAATTATTTCAAGTAATAGTTATGAGGACTCTTATCTACATGTAGTTCCATCTTTTTGCTCCTGTTCCTTTTATTAGATTATTTCTTGTGTTGCATTGTCAGTTATTGGTAACATACACATGGTAGAACATACAGAGTTATTGGTAGCTGTTGGAGGGTTTAGGGCTGTCAGATTCCACTTTTCATTGGTAACTAAATTCGTGGTGGATTTTAATGCCATTGTAACAAGAATGAGGTTGAGCTGCCTTTTATTCTTAAATGCCACTGGTCTGCCACAGAAAATGGCTTTTCAGTTAAATAAACTTTTCTATTTTAGGTTTTGCTTTTAATGGAGGAGCAGAAAATAGCTGTCAGAGGTAAATAGAAATAGGTAAGATCAACTAGAATTAGAATTGACAGAAAGCAAAGATGAGAGAGGATATCGTTGTAAGGGTTGGACATAGTAAATAAGGGAGTTGTTGGAATATGTTTTGAGCATATACTTGGCCTTGAGACTGTTAAATAAACGCAGCGCAATTAGTAGATACTCCAGCTCAGGGGCTTGAGTGTTCTGTATGCTCTGAAGACACTTGGCATGCTGCAGATGGATTTTTTTTTTTTTTTTCTTTGTTATGCTGTTTTTCCTAGGATGACAGAGTTCGTGTTCAGGGACTCAAGAGTTTAATTGAACAGGTTTTTTTGTATGGACACAAGACATCCTATATGGCAAAAAGCAAATTAAACATATCCATACAGGCCTTTTTTAATTGAGGGGTACATGTCTGCTACTGCTCTTAGCAAAAATGCTTCTGGTAGCATCATAGTCTGTGTGGCTCTTTAAAGGCACTACTTGTGTATGCGTTCATATTTTGACAGTAAGCGTGTATGAGTTTTGGAAGGAGGCAATTTGTAACTGAGTGAAATTCAGATACATTTTTCAGTAGTAAATCTAATTTTCCAGATTACTAGGTCAGCAGCTAAAAGCAATCTAAATAAAATCTACAAAGGCATATTGAATTTCCTGCAACACATATGAATTTTTTGAAAATGTTTTCTGTTGACTATGAAACTCTCTAATTATACACTCTTTATGATAATGATGATTACAAGAAGCTCTGAATTCTCTTTTTAGGATCAACTGACGGGCTTTCAACAGTTGACTCGGCAACTGCATATAGCCAATGAGAAAATAGAGTTGGTAAGTAAAACCTTGTGAACAGTGACCTAGTAAATTTTTTTTTTCACTACCAGAGCCTCAAAGTATAAAAGAAAAGCAAAAAGTCCTTCATATATACCTGGTTGAAAAAGAAATTGTGCCATTCAGATTTGCAAACTTCTCTAGGGATAGTAAAACATCAGGTAGTAATGGCTTTTTTTCTGAATTCCAAACAGCAGGTTAGGGTGGTTGAGAGGGTAGCTCTTAATACTATGCAACCTCTTTCTTCAGGAACTCAGTGGTAAACTTAAACTCAGAATTGTAGTATGTGGTGAGTGTACTTAAGTCACACGTTCAAAACCATGTTCACAAAGCAGAAAATCATAGAACCATAGAATGGTTTGGGTTGAAAGGGACCTTAAAGAGCATCTAGTTCCAACCCACCTGCCATGAGCAGGAACACCTTCCACTAGACCAGGTTGCTCAAAGCCCCATCCAACCTGGCCTTGAGCACTTCCAGGGATGGGGCATCCACAACCTCTCTGGGCAACCTGTCCCAGTGCCTCACCACCCTCACAGGGAAGAATTTCTTCCTAATATCTAACCTAAATCTACCCTCTTTCAGTTCAAAACTGTTACCCCTCATCCTATCACTACACTCCCTGTTACAGAGCCCCTCCCCATCTTTCCTGTAGGCCCCCTGTAAGTACTGGAAGGCTGCTGTAAGGTCTCCCTGGAGCCTTCTCTTCTCCAGGCTGAACAACCCCAACTCTCTCGGCCTTTCCTCATAGGAGAGGTGCTCCAGCCCCCTGATCATCTTTGTGGCCCTCCCCTGGACCTGCTTGAGCAGCTCCATGTCCTCCTTATGTTGGGGGCCCCAGAGCTGAATGCAGTACTCCAGGTGGGGTCTCACAAGAGCCGAGTAGGGGGGGACAGTCATGTCCCTTGACCTGCTGGTCACGCTTCTTTTGATGATGACCTCTTATATAGGCTAGCTCTGTCACATGTTTATCGATTCCTAGTTTGGCTCTGCTGGCTTCAGTGTCTTTGTCACTGACCTTTTCAGGGATTTTTCTGAGCTCTAATCATCTCCTAGTGCTTCATCCATATCCATAGATTGTGAGACTTTGTAGTCTCTAAGCTTTAGCCTAGAACTTCCAGGATTGACAAACAATTTTAATATCTTACAAAAATCAAGGTGAAAAACTTGAAGTTTCTGGCTGAGCAGCTTCTTCTCTGAAAGATATGATTCCTGTGTGATTTTTTTGATGAATGTTTGTCTCGGATACTGGCAGTGCAAAAAGACTCCTAACCTACTAGAGGCTGTCTACTCTCTTCTGTCTTTGTCACTGGAACCTTTTTTCCTCACATCTGACCTCTTGTTAAAATATAAGCCTGTTTATTTGGAAATATTGTAGGTATGAAGGAAAGTTTACTACATTCTTTGTTGTGATGCCTCTGTTATTGAAAATTTTTGTATTGCCATCTTTTCCCTTTCCCTGCTTTTTTTATTCTGTTCTAAGCAAGTCAAGTCTTTATATGTCCTTTGACAATGTTTTTAAGATGTCTAATCATTCTTCTTGCTCACCTTTAAATTCTTTCTAATTGTGCCATCTTTCTTGAACTGTGGTGCTGGAAACAGTATAATGCTCCAATTGAGTCCTTACCAATGTTGAGTAGTATATTGCAGATTCTACAGAATTGTATCTTGTGAGTAGTTGTCCTGTTTACAAGCTGTTTTGTCAGTATTAATAAAAGCGGAATAATGCTCTCAGAGAGGAATTTTTGCCTTGCATAGTCAGTGGTGGTCTCAAAATTAACTACTCTCTAAAGATAGATACTTTAGAGTTACTGGGGGAGTTGCTGTCTGAAAACAATCTCAAGCGAATACAATTATGAGCTTTTAAAGCAGTTTTGCTGAGGATTTGGAAGTTACAGACTGTTTGATCTGCTGTTACGAGCAAATTGGTAGTAGGTACCTCACAAAACAGAATCACTGAATGCTTAAAGTCATAAAATTGGAAAGGTATGATGTGGAGAGGAGAGAGTGAAATATGTGAACTCTTTGAAAGAGATGAAACAGATGATAAGATAAAGGTAATCCATTTGTTTGCATTATGCAAAAAACATTAGGAAAGGTCTGTTACCAAAGACACAAATATGTCATGGTATAAAGAAGCATGGCCTTTCTTGAACTAATAAACTGAAAAATAGGAAGTGAAGAGACAGAGTAATTAGTCAGCTTTTTTATTGTGGTAAAACAGCTGTGTTTCCTAGATGTGCTCAGGTTAGAGTTGTTCAGCATATTTATGAATGTTCTGGAAATTAGATTCAATATTAAGGCAACAGTGTTCACTACTGATGTTAAAGTATTTGGGGTAGTGAAAACTGAAGTAAACTGCAGAAATTTGCAGAAAGATCTCATGATACCGAGCATCTGAGTGAATTTTGTCTGACACTTCTTTGCTATTAATAAAAGCAAAATAATGCATGTAGGCAAGAGGGAGCTTTCACTTTGGGTACTCTGTGATGGTCTTGAAATTAACTGTTACCACTTTGAATAGGTATTTTAGAAGTAGGAAGTGATTGAAAACAATTCTTGGCAACAGTCAAAAAAGCAAGAAGAATGTCAGCAATTATTAGGAGTCAGGGAAAGGGAATATACTGTGCTTAAGTCCACAGTACAGCAGCATCTTGAATGCTTGCCTGCAGCTGTGGTCATCTCTAATATCTCAGTGAAATGTATATGTAAGATCTAGAAAAGGCTAGTAGAGTAACAAAAATATGAAATGATTCTCAAGTGAGAAGACAATCTAAGGAGAATGACACCTCCAGCACTATGGCTGGCATAGAAAAAATGAAGGAGGAGCACTTGCTCATTTTTTCTCTGTCTCTAAACCAAAGGAATTCTTTCCAGCAATATGAGGTCTACTGTGGTACTTATTGTCACAAGGTATTCTAGACACCTAAACTAGATGGGAATACAGATGGTCGGTCTGAGTTATTACAATTCCTTATCTCAGGAAGTTCTTGCACTACCAAAATATGGGGAAAGAAGGGTAGGATTAGGTAACATCACTCTGTATTTGCTTTTCTGAAATACTCTACCTAAACCTTGGCGCTTGGAGACCAGCAACAGTGTTCAACAGACCTTATTGGCTATTTTTATGCTTACTATATTCTGTAGAAGTGCCGTGTGACAAATCTGAATTTATAACATGTCAATACAGTAAGAAACATGTTACAAATACCTCCTTATTTTGCAGAGCAATCAACAGTTTCTGAAAACTGTAGCAGAACAGAATGTGGAACTAGAGCAGCTACGAAAACAACTGAGGTATAAACCAGGCAATTTAAAAAATAATTTAATATCTTTTCTATAGCTTTTTGTAACCTGCTGCTCTATCATGGGCCTTGTTTGTACTGCAAACTGACTTGATAGCGATAGTTAAAACGGTTTCAGTTAATGCCTCTGAAGTTTGTTAGAAATGTGTGCATCATTAGCATTAGGGTAGCATATTTCCAGTTATTGTTTGGTTCAGCTGCTTCCTGAAACATTTAACATTTGACCTTTGATTTAAAAGGAACAATGTATCAGTATCAAAGCAAAATTGACTCTGAAGATAGGTTTTCATTAGAATACAGTTTGCTCAAAATCCAGTTACAGAATTACTCAATGCAGTTCTGAAATTTGAATGTTCAAAGTAGCTTCGAGTTCTAATGTTGTTAATAAAATTTCTATTCACTGTTTCTCAATAAAGAGCTCTAAACCATAGGCTCTTTGAAAGTTAGAGGTAAGAGAAATGTTAATTATATTCCTGAAGTATATCACGGAAAATGAGAGGAATATCTGTGACACAATTTCATGATTATTTGTATTTACAGCCAAAGTCTGTTCAATGCCAGTTGACTGTAACTGTTAACTCTTTTAATTAGTGATGGCTGAGGTCAAAGTAAAATTTAATTTCAGTAAATGGTAGATTTGTGGACTGACAATAAAAAGGAAATGGATTAATTATTTAGTGATATTTTTTGTATAGCATTACCTAAAGCTTTAAATAAGCTTTTTAAAATAAACTTTTATAAGTTTAAAATTTATAATGTACTTAAATTTTTGTTTAATTATGAATTTTTCCTTTGATTTTTAGTTACTGTAATTTCCTTTGATACTGTGATTAAAATATTTAATATGGTTGGACTGCTGTGATGTTTCAGTTAGTTTCATTGTTTGATTTTAAAGAACGTCACCCCAAAAATGGTAAAAATTTCCATTTTTATGTAAACAGTTACAGATGGCTCTGTGTGTTTGTGCATGCACACGTGTTCATGCGCTCAATTTTGTATGCAGCTTTTGCAGGTAAAGCTGGTATTTAGACACCTAGGTTGGCTGAATGCATGCTGATACTGGTTTTATCCCTCCAAGAAAGAACAGCTACATCAGATGTTCCCTCTCCTCTCTTCCAAACCCATACAAAATATTATACGAAGAGCAATTGGTATCTGTTGTAATGCCAAGTGCTTATCACTGTACACATCGGGTGTTATACAAATTTCAGCGTCTATTTAATAAGTCTAGTTGTACTATTTGTAGATATTAAAGTTACTGTGTCACAATACTCGGAGTAAAAGATACAGGTTTAGAGTGAATGGACAGATTCATCAGTGTTGAATATTAGTCACTGTTGAATATTTATTAATCAATTTTAAAATAGGTCTTTTTTTTTCAGGATTGGTTGTATCCAAACTTTCTGTTAGAGCAATAAAAATTAGTATTGTGCTTTCACCACCCCCTGCTTGGTACCTTACGGTTTACTTACTAGAAGAATTTTGTTTTAAACAATGTTTATTTTTCCCTTTCCTTTGTAAAATAAATCTAGGACCAGAACCTGCTTAGAAATGCCAAGTTACCTCAATCACTGAAGATGTGTTTTTGAGGGGAACTTGTTAGCACTTCACTTTTATTAGCCAAGATTTTTCCACGGAAAAACTATTCTCAATAGTAGTGTGTTTTGGAGAGGGAAAATGTTGTGACAAGCAATCAAAGATTAAGGTGGTATTTAGGGTATTTGCTAAAATAAAGTATTTCTAAACTCAGTCATCACTTGCACTTTGCTTGTGCATGCTACTATTTAATTCTTGAAAGGGAAAGAACAACATTTTCATATCCCTACTTTTTTGGAATTTCTTTCCTTGCAGAGGGTATTAGTACTGAATTTTACCATTTTGGTATCTCATTCATCTATAAATCTTTAGTCTTGCATTGACATGTTTATGTTGACTTGTAATAAGTGGATATGAAAGCAATTGGCATTAACTGAACCTATTTTAGACATTCAACAAAAGCTATCAACATTCAGTTTATTACTGCATTTCTAATACTCAGTGGCTTTGATTAAAAAAAAAAAAAAAACAAAAAAAACCCCCCAAAAAAACCCAATAACCTTAAAATCACTTATGTTGTGGTTGAACAACCAGTTTAGTATTTTTGTCGAAATTACAGATGATGTGATTTCCTTTGGTCTCACCTTTATTTCATTTTTTTTAAAGGAAACTTTTTTAGGCTTGATCTTTGGAGCTATCTGAAATTCTTTAATGATACCACTTTGATCAAATAATTTAGAATATGGCATGACAACCAAAATGGCCAAACTCTTTGATTTGTAGCCATGCATACACAGAAGGATCTGTCTAACTGTCCATATGGCAATGAGCGTGGATAGTAGAAGGGAAGTGCATGTTTTCTGCTTAAGTGACTGCTTCAGGAAGAAGGTATATTAAAAGGTAGATGTCCCTGGGATGGACTGAAAGCTAGTGGATCATCTTACTCTGAAATTTTACTCACATGTGCCCAAATATGCATGCATATTTTCAATTAGTTGCTGTTTTATAAATAGTGAAATTGTGAGTGAATTTAGACTTCCATCTAAGTATCCACAGGGCTAGAGTAGTCATCTTCCTTCTTTCAGAACACTAGATTTCTGATTTAATATGTTCTAGCTGGGCAAGACTGCTCAACACATGTGGCTTAAGTCAATCAAAGCAGTTAACTGCATGATATTAATCAATAAATGGACAATCGGTAGCCTATGCATTAATGATCAATATTAATAATAACAGGTAAACCATGATACTAGGCATTTCCAATATGTGAATAAACAAACACAAATCTATAAACAGCCTTGTGTAACTGATCCCACAAAGTAATTGCGACTGATCTCACACACCCTTTCTTGCTTGCTCTTACATAGGTACGCACATCCTCTCCCACAGGAAGCATGGAATCGAAGTGTGGGCATGTGTGCGCAGATACTCCCTTTTTGAGACTCACATGTTCCCCTGTGCACACCCCTCCTGCTGAAGGTGTGGGTGCTCCAGCTTTATGTGTACTTGCGCTGCTTCCTGAAGTCTGTTAATTGTGCCCTGCTGAGACGGCACCCCATGAGTTCCCATGCACACACCTGATAATGTTGGTCCCCATTTATTTCACCCTGGGCTGTCGGTCTGCCTGCTGGTTGCAGGCTACTCCTGGAGTCTGGTGGGATGGCTGCTCTCAGACTTGGGAAAAGGTGGCAATGCCCATGAAGTGACTCCTGGCAGGGTCAAACACAGCTTCACTGCTGGGCTGTCACTCTAAGGTCTGTCACCCACAATCACAAGTTTTCATGTTTCCTTTCAAGCTGTCATCTTCTCAGAAGTCTCTTTGTAACTGTTTAATCTGCCTGGCAGTGATCTCGAGCGACCTCTGTCATTGTTACTCTCCCCATGGCGTTCTCAGTTTTGGGCAAAGAGGGTCTCAGAGGAATTTTGCATCTCTAATTACAAGCACTGATTACACTCATTTTCCTCTCGGATCACCTAAAAGTTCTTGCAGCCCTGAAAACAGTACTATGTTTTACTCAGAAAGCTAATAACAGCAGTTCTATATAGCTCTAAAGTAAGTGTTGCAGTGATTCTCAAAGGAGTCTGGAATGTTTTCACCAGTTGTTTCTCTTACATGAAGTTACATAGATGTAGTTTGCATGGATTTTATAGCATATATTGCAGACAATTCTAATCCTTTTGGATGTTTTTAATAGATTTACATTGATTTATGGTGATAGAGTAACAAGTTTGGGGAGGAAAAGTAGATTTTAAAAATAAACAACTTGCGTATAAGAGAACTTAGGTTTTATTTAGGTTTGTACGGCCTAGATTGAGTGTCATTTTGGAGCTTTTGATATTGCTAAGCTTATTGGTGTTGATAAATTTTAAGTATTTTAAGATTAATACATAGCAAAATATACAATCTGACACATGTAGCTGTAAAACACTTCAAACATGCTCCTGACGTATTGTCATCGTATATTTCCAGTATGTATGCCTAAAGGAAGACTGCTAGATTAAGTTTTGGCAAGTCATCTGGGAAAATGAAGACAAAATTAAGAGTTCTGCTGGAAATTATTCTCAGATTGATAATAGCTTTTATTCTTTAGATCAGAAGCTGACCTTACCCAAAATAAAAAATTGACATTGGGGCAAAAACTCCCTAAGAAGTGTTTGAGAACTGAGTCATTGCTTCTCATCAATGTGAACATAAACTCAGTATAAAATGTACAATTGCACTGTACTATTTGCGTACTATTTACGTACTATTACACTAGCTTTTAAGGGTCATAAGCTGCCATGCATAGAGACAATGTAATATTTAACGTATTTCTGTAGAGAATTGAGGACTGAACAGACATCGCATATTTATATGCTAGAATTTTTATTAAAACATCTATTAGTGCTTTAGTGTTTCAAAGCTCTCTTGCATACAGTTAATCATTTAGTTCACTGTATTATTGTTCTCTTGAATTAACTACAAGCAGCCGTCTCTGGAGAAGGGCTGCTTAACAGTCAGTGATCAAATGGTCTTCTCTGGTGACGTGAACTGTTGAGTTTAGCTGCAGGTATTAAAAATGTTTTAATCTATATGCTAATGAGATATTTTTAAAGATCTGTAGATAAAACATACTAGCTAAGAAACTTGGCATTGCTAGGGCATGTATCTGCATTTCAGAATCTTAAAGCTTTTAAACAGAGAGAACTTGCCAAGATTATGTTAAGGGTATATTGCACAGTGAAGAATAAAAGCTGTATCTTTAGAATCAATTTGTAGACACACACCTCTGAATTTGATCTGAATCTAGTAATTAAAATGCATTTTTAATACTTAAGCTGTTCTGAGTTTTATGTCCTCCTTTTTTTTTTCTTATTTTTCCCTTCTTATGCTGGGTTTTGAGTTTTTGTTCTATTTTACAGCACATTTTAAATATTTTGAGGGAAGCAACTTAATGTCCTCATAAATTTAACAGTACTTTTTGTTGGAGAAAGGTGCATGATTCAGATGGAGTAAGATCAAAGTTTTGGACCTGCAATAAGGACCATGTGTCTGAGAATAATGTCTTTATCTTTGGTTTTGCTTTTTAAAGAAATTATAACAGAATTAGTTTTTCTGATTAATTAAGCTGAAATTAAGTATTTGCTATAGACTTGTTAGGATTATGCTTAATTTGCTTAAGACATTCATATAGGTATAATATGCTTTTGTCTTTTACGCCATTAAATCAAAATTATTATTCCTATAAGGAATTTTTGCTCGAAGTTGATTCTTAAAAGTATTAAATATTTTCTAGCTTCTTTCATGACTATTAGTGCTCCAGATTGCATTAGCTTATCTAATATGTTTGCTCTTTCTTAACTGTATCATACATTCAATTATTGGTCTTTAAATTTAGCCTAATATGCAGGCTGAATAATTGGGTTACACCCCAGGTGAAGGACTCTCTGTGTCTTTCTGTTCCCAAGTCAGAGGAGTAGAAGGGTTGCTTATTTCAGTAAGCTTTTCTACTGAGGAGGAAGTCTGATTCGTTAACTAGTCCATTTTTTTTTCCTTTTCTGTTTCAGCTCATAAAACCTACCCAGATTACAAAGCACATCAGTTAAATTCTTCAGAAGTGGTTAATGATTTTTTTTTTTAATTCCTAGTCAAATTGCTTTAAAAAGTGGTATCTAATTCTAAAAAAGATTTCTCCATTAAGTATCTGTGGTCAGTTATATTTAAGTTATTGAATCACTTAATTTTTTGATTGCCTAGTCCTCCCAAATATTTAATCAACACATACACCTTCCTGTTAAGCTATCCTTAAGAAGTCATTTCCACAGGACAGTTGTTTAATGAATTTGGTATTCCTTTCTCACTGTGCCACATAGTAAGAAGGAGAAAAAGGGGGAAACCTTTTCTGCTTTGTAGGAACAGTATTATGAAATCTGACTGCCTTTCACAGCTACTTCAACAATGTTGTAAACTAGCTGGTTTCTTCTCCTATAATAATTGAAATATAATTCATAGACTGTTTTCTTTATACAGGCAAGCCAAAATAGATGGGCAGACAGCAAATGCTAAGGTTGATGAAATGACCAGATTGACAGAGAAGCTTCAAGGCCAGTTGGAGAGAAAGGTATGCTAGAGAAAGGAATAATTTTCTGTTACAACTGAATGGCTAGTCAGTTATCTGAATGCTGAGGTTAAATTAATCACAAGTTGTTCTCTAACTTGGTTTATGTTAGCGTGTCTTTATTTTGTTCAGGGAGGATCAGATGATGTCTGGATAATACATATATTCTTTCTAGGAAGAAGATGTGATAACTGCCCAGCAAAGAGAAACAGCATCTGACAAACGCTTGCAGCAAATGCAGTCTAGTATAAAACAATTAGAAACAAGGTAAAGAGATCTCATTGATTTTAATAGCAGGATACATGCAAGTGACATAAAATACTATGGTTTTTTCAGCCTCTGGGTTTTGTGTTTCTGAGCAATTCTGTTTCTTCAAAATGCAGATATCTTACACCTGGCTGCTCTATATCTTATTTGTTCTATTCTGCAACCTTTCAGAACAGCTTCTGATTTCAATGTATTTAAAATGATAAAACAGACCACCTGATTTTATTGACTGTAATGGAGAAAAAATGAAGCATATATTTTTCATTCTAGTGCATAAATTCTAGTTACTCAACTCTTGTTAGCTTTAGGTGGAGTTCTAAAGAAAAACATTCACACTGAAATTTGAAAATGTTTATGTAAACTAGCTGGTTTTGAGGTGAATACAGATTTTTCCTTCTATGTTAAATAAGATTTGGTTTCAGGTCTTAGTTCAGCAATCTTTATACAAAAAAGATCATTTAATAAAATTGTTAAAGCGCACTTCTTAAGTATAAATGCTAGTTACAAAAGTAGTTTGAATACCTGCGAAGGAGTAGAACTTTAATTCCAGCACTATCTATTGGAAGATCTAAGACTAAATCAGGTTCTTTTGTGTGGATTTTTTCTGCCTCGCCTTCGCTTTCCAAGGATGTGACACGTAGCTGAGCACAGTGATTTTGATTCAAGTATCACAAACAGTTGTTGAATTATTAACATTGGTGAAGTGACCTGATAACTAAGAAGAATTTGTAAATTTCTTATTGAAATAATTGTGTGACGGTTTATCTTCCCTTCTTGGTCACGGCCTTCTGAGCGTGATTAGCAGACTCTGAAGTAACTCTAGAAACAAAATAATTACTAGGGAACCAACCTTGTGACCATGTGGTCAAGTACTGCCTTGAGGAGTTGCACAGACTTGTGTGGCTACCTCTACTTGATGAATTTCACTGGCCTAAGCATTGTGGAGGCTCTTAAGTTTATTTTAGAATGTCTTAAGGAATTAGCTAGTTTTATTATTTTCTTCAGGTTTTTGTAGAACAAAAATTGTGCTTTGGCTCTACAGAAATAGAGTGGTTGTCTGTCTTCGTATGTTTCGTTACAAACATGTTAGAAAATAAAAATGCATGGCTGCTCGAAAAGGCAGCCCAAGTGTTGCCAAAGTGCTTGCTATGGATATTTGGAACCATGCACTTTATTGAACCAGCAGCACTTGTGGAACTTTCTGAGGCTTTTTTGAGGATACCTCTGAGGCTATCTTGCCCTTTCTCATTCCTACCAATACTGACAATCATAATTAAACAATAAGAATTTCTGAGCTGTTGTAAAATTGCCAGTGGTTTTCTTGTTCTAATGGTATAGCTGCAACTTCATTGCCCACATCCAATTATTCCATTTCCTCCTCAGAGGGAAACTATTCCTTCTGGGGCTGTTCTATTCTGTTTTAATATAGAACATTTTCAGTGATGTATCCCAGGATAGCAACATTCTTCTAAGGATCTTGTGAGATCAGATATGTGAGTTAACTCCTTTAATTCTGTTTCTTTCTAGGACTTGATGAATATTAAAGTCAAAGACTCTGTCCAAAAACAAGCAGAAAACCAGGAGTGCAGTTTTGGCAACTTATGTATAAATACTTCATTAGTTTAGTTTGAAAGAATTAGAGTATTAATTAAGCATCTTACTGTTAAATGAGTAAAATTACTACTATCTTGTAGATTACGTGTTACTGTCGAAGACGCTGAACAGCTGAGAACAGAAAGAACAGCCCTGGAGAAACAAATCGGAGAGCTTCAGACAAAGTATGCTAATCTAGAAAGGGAGAAACATGAAGCTGTTGCAAAATTACAAGATTGCATACAGCTCTTAGAAGAAGCTAACCTACAGAAAAGTCAGGTAAGGCAGTGGATGAAGATATTTCTTAGATACTAGAATACTTTCATCACTTACAGTTGTGAAGTGCCTGATTATATATTCTTGCAGGCATACATGCATACACAACCAAGCTTCTTTTATGTCTGTTGTACTAAAATTAGTAATGCATAAGATAGCAAACTGTGAATGACCATACATTACTTAGACTTGTCATACAGTTTAAATTTCAAAGAATATGTTCGGTGCCTGGATAAAGGTGATCTAAGTGATAATACTGTACGTGAACTTGAATTTTCAAAATTCAAGTATTGTTATCTAATACTTATAAACAAATTGGGCTGTCAGAATAAAAAGGAAGGTCCTGTTATGAATTTATAATTTATTAATGGTTAGGAAAGAAGAGCTAAAACTAAAGGGACTTTTGTTGCATGATGGATATAGGTCACCAAGAGGGCGAGTTCTGTGTTCAGTTCTTAATTATTCAGAAGAAATCTGGAAAAGTGACTGAGTAATGAGTGGGTGAAGTCTGCAGTCAGGAAAAAATTGCAAAGGTGTTTATTAGTGTATTATAAAATGGCAGAAGAAATTCAAATGTGCCATACTGGGTTCTGAATTTAGTCTTACCAGTCAAAAAATGGTTTAGGAGATGGTGTGGTTGTCTCTTAAGAATACAGTCACGCAATCCTCAGTGGTGCTTGATACAATGAATAGAATGTTCAGAATGGGAGTTAAAAATAAAGATGCCTTTAAACATAGTGCATCTTCATATGCTATTTTGATCAGCCCATTTCAGGCAAGAGATAGGAGAATTAGGAAAGTGCGGGAGGAGTCAACCAAGAAGACTAGACATGTGCGGAAGCCTTAAAACAAATTTTTATATACAATATGTGATTGAAATGTCGTAGGACATGTATGCCAAAAGTATAGGTATGAAAACAGTCAAATTCATGACAGGACAATCCACCAAAACTTCCTAAAGAACGGGGTCTAATCCAGCAAGTCTTGATGTGTCTATTGATCAAAAAAAATAGTCACCCTGTTTTCCCAGTTCTTAACTTCCCTGAAGTATCTGTTGTTTGCCCCTTTAGGAGATAGGATACAGGGCTTGGTAAACTTTTGTCTAATATGGACTCTTTGTGTTCTAATGCTAAGCTTCAGTTCAAGTCAGACTTTTAGAAATTTAATGAATTGTGTTTGCTGGCAAGACAGAACTTTAATGCACATCTGATGACTAACCATCAGTAAGTGAAACCCAGTGTAGCTAATGTCTGTGGGAATAAATGGAGAATCTTAGGACTGGTTCTATTTGGGCTACCATGTTGAACTGTTGAGCAGTTAAGGAGATAAGTGCTCCCTTTTAGTCTGAAGTTGCTTTTCAAACTTGAGGAGCCTCCTGAGTATCTAAACTAGCTTTTTACTTTCAACTTTTGGAATAGTGAAGTTAGTGGTGCTCTTGCTGATTTCAGTTCTGTGACAAAAGAGGCAGACCTGCCTCCTTTTTTCTGACAGAAAAGGGAATTAACTTCTTTAAAGAGATCCTGCTAACCTTCTGGCCTGCTTCCAGAATAGATTAAAATATTGACAAAGCTTAGGGTTCTGGTCATTACTGCAGTTAAACTTCTGTGATTCATCTTGGTATGCAAAAGAGGATTATCATCTTGTTATAGTCTTTCTTCCCATATATTTATAGTCATTTAGGAAATCCTTTGGTGGCATCTTTTCCTTTTCATAATTTCCTCATAACTTTCCGCATCTCATTTACTTTATGAACCAATCTGCTACAATTCCCTTTACCTGTTAGGCTCTGGTTCAGGAAGGGGTGAAAAATGAAGTTTTACATCCTCTAGCTCTTGATGGCCACCTTTGGACTTGTCAATTCCTTTTTCTTAGTAAGATATTGCAATCCTTAACAGCATTTTCCTACAGCCTGATAGGGGGGGGAATACGAAGAATAACAGGTAAAAATAAAATAATTTTTTTCCAGAGTTTAAAAACCAGAAAACACTCTTTCATTTGAAAATTACTGGTAAGGAGTATAAATTACATTTCCCATCTGCTAAGTATTAGTACATCAGAGCAGTGTTGGAACACCATTTTTCATCCAAAAGTAGTTCAGCAGATCATTTGATGCCATTTGCTATGAACTCGCATGAAGGTGACAGAAGGAAGTGACCCAGTAAAAATTGTGATGTAAATCGCATCTCTAAGACAGTAAGTGAACAGTTACAGTTAAATAAGTAGCTTGTTATAAGTAACAGTTGAGATTAATGCTGTAAGTAAGAATAAACTGGAATTTGCAGACACTTGTTAATTTACTGCTCTGGCTAAAACATCCTGAATTTTTCAAAATGGCAAGTTTATTAATGAACAGGATAAAATAAATGCAGCATAATATACATATCGGTTAACTCTTTGTGTCTTAAACTGCGGCCACAGAGGCTTCTCCCTGCTCTGTAAGAGGTTGAGGACTGGGAGTAACAGGCTGTCATCATAATGCTGCTTCTGTTACATTAACATTATAAAGCACACAAAGCTAAGCATACAAAAAGACATCAGAAGAATTTTAAAAGAGTGGTTTGAGAAGTAAAATACAAAGTTGAATTGAATGGGAGCAGTAAAAGAGAGTATGACTGCTGAAGTGGCATGTTACTGCCTGAAGTGAGTAACCTTCTATAGGCTGAATTTATATCATTCTTTAGGGACGTTTTTATGTCTTTCTCCCTTTATGCATCTATATATTCTCTGTGTGCCATCTAGGATTTTTCATCTCACCCATCAAGAATTCTACATTCCGTAATCTTTTCAGACCAGTATCTCCTATTATACTTTAGTATCAGTAGCTTTCTTGCATCCTCCAGGGGAAGGGTTCCTTGCTACACCTTTTTCTGTAATTCTCACCATTCTTTTATGCTAAAGAGCTTTTTGATTCATTGTTATCCACTATGAAAGGACTGCATACACATTCCTTAGTTGCTTATAAATTTTTATTCCTTTACTTTTAATTTTCTGGGAGATGAGTAATTTAGTATATCAACCATAAGAAATGCTTAGCTATATGTAGGAGCATGTGTGTGCATATACAGGTATTCCGTTTCCTAACAGAGAACTTTCTATGCGTTATTGTTGGCATTTTTTATTACAGATCCTGGCCCCAGATCAGAACATTGGAGAGTAGCCTTGCCTTTTGGTCTGAGTTCCTATGCTTTCTTCTGTATAATTCAATGCCTGGCCAAAATCTGAAAGCCCCAATAATAAGTCCCAATAGAAAAAGGCATCTACTGACACTTAATTTTTTGTGTGGTTCTGATGTATAAGAATGTGCATTTAGTGCAAAATGTTCTCACTGTGCTTGTTTTCTTGTTGGGTCTCGGTGTCAGCTACTCCGAAGTAAAAAAGGAAAAAAGGTTTTTTGAACAGTGACTGTGGTTTTTTCTCTCAGTACTAGATACTATATCACCACTGAAATATTATCAGTAGTATTTCAAGTTGTTATTTTTTTCTAGGCACTCTTTGGGGAGAAACAAAAGGAAGAGGAAATAAAAACAATGAAAGATGAAATGTCTCAACTTGCAGAAGATACTGCTGCAAGAATTAGAAAGGCAGTAAGTTATGATGTTTAGAAAGAATGGGAAGAATTTTTGGTTTTCCTCAGTGTGAAAAGCTATTGATGGTGCATGGTCATCACGAGCAATTCTCTTAAAAGTGTTTTGATAATATTGGTAGCAAGGCAGCATGCTGACAGTACTGTACTGTTCAGCTTTGTTATCTAGACATATATTCTTCTGAACTAAATAGTATTCTTAAATCTCTCAAGAACCAAAAGTGTTGACATCTGTGCAGACACTAGTATAGAGAAGGCTGCACTGTGAAGATGTAAAGAACGGCACTTCAATTTCAGAGATTCTGTTCAGTAGCACGTCAACAGACTGAGTGCTGTATTGGTATCAGAGTATTTAATTTATGATACATGGCCTCATCTTGGAAGTTGCTGATGGAAGCTTATCATGTACATTCAGATGATAGGACCTGTTGAAAATTAGACTATCGTTTTTTTGGCATCTCGATACTTAAAAATATTCCCCTATTTAGGCAAGTAAGACTCTTTTACCAAGTACAGCTAACAATCAAGAGGCTCAATATTACAGCACACTTAGAAACCAGAATTTGGTAGAGAAATTACTGAAAAGAATGTTGTAGTCTCCATGATTTTTGTTATTGTTGTTATGAGCAGCTGAAAAATGGAAGCTCTTCTGATAAAAAACTAGTAACAAAATTAATTTTCTTCATGTTGTGTCCCATCTGCAGTTAAAATGCAGACTAATCTACCTGGAGGTTCTCAGTGATCATGATTATGTCAAAGAGACTTGCTTTATTTTGAGGCAAACTCCAGAGGAAATAAAGGCTGGTTACAGGCATGTGTTGGCAATGTCTTTTGTTGCAAGTGGACAACAGTGTAAAGCAATTATCTCATTTGTAAGTTTTCAGTGGTGAATTGATTTTGCCTCCTTTCACTTTCTTCACTATGACACAACATGCACGTGTACTATATAGGGATGAAAGGATTCTTTTTCTTTCCAATTCTTTCATTTCAAGAGGTTTCAGGAACATACCACCTAAATTTTCAGAGCCTTCAAAATGAGAATAAAGATTTTTCGTGCTTCTACTCGGTGGTTACCTGAAAGAGTCACAAAAAATGTATGGATTACTTAAAACTGGGATATTTAACATCATACATGGTTTGGAGAAGGTGCAAGAGCTAAAGAGCAACTAGGATAACCCTTCTAGTTGTGGCAATGATTTACTAATCAGAATTTAGAAGTTCAGAAATGCCCTATTTCTTATTTTTAAATTATCTCAGTAGAAGTGAATCTATCAAAAGCATAAGAAGTAAAATTTTAAACTATGAGTTGTCATGTTTCTCCAGGTATTAACAAATACTTTTGTTATGTGATCTAAAAGTATCTGTAACGCAAATTGCAAATATCTTGCAACTAATGGACCACAGCTTTCTCGATAGTCTTGTTATTCTTTTTGCAAGGCCTTGTTATGATGTCTTCCTTTCTGCTTTTTTTTTTTGAAACACCCACAGTTAAAGTAGTATGGATTGATAATAAACATTCTTCTAACATTCATGTAGTAAGAGAGTTTTCAGTTACTGCAGTCCCAGATATTTCCATATTTATATACATGCACCACACATAGACTATGTGTGTGTGTGTATGTGTGTATATATATATATATATAAAAAAATAGGATGCAAAAATAATTCAAGGGATTAATTTTTTAGTTTTACTTTGGTTTCCATCACAGCTAGACTCTGCAAAGAAGCAATATAATGTGCAGATTTCTCGACTAACAGAAGAAATTTCAGCTCTTCAGATGGTATGGTGTTTACTGATTAAAATATTTTTGATAGCAAAACATTTGAGACTTCTAGTTTTTGTTGATCAAGTAAAATGCTAAACTGAGGTAAAAGTCAGTCAACTAAAATATGATTAATGGGTAATTGTCTAGGACTATGCTTTATTATTGTATAGTACTTTGCATCCTGCATGTTTCCAGACATTAATGCAACATACGATGTCTTTCATGCTACTTGACAAAAGCTACTGTGTGCAGCATCTTCAGCAGTCAGTGCAATGATTCATATTTAGGTGTAAAGGATATTTGCTTTGAAAATTCATCTTTAATGTACAGATTTGCCTTACATGTGTACAGTCGTATCTTAACTTTTACTGAGAACTTGCCTGGCTCTGCATGAAATAATACAGTCCTGCAAATCCACCCATTTGTTTGTGTAAGTTTATTACTTCAGTTATGTGTATTCTTATCATAGTTCAGAAGCATCTTGACAATGAGATTCTGTGCTCTAGAAAATATTTCCTACGTGATGGCATTTCCTAAGTATCCCTGTTTCTTTCAGGGATAAATAAAGCATGGAAAGCTGAGTATTGCATATCTGTAGTTGGGTGTGTAGAAATGAAGTACTATGAAAGTTGATAAAGTATGCTAAGAGAAAGTCTGTGCATCACAATCATCATATTCTTGAGTGTACCAGGAACTTGTAACAAATTATGTGGGAGACCAAAACCACTCAGTGCATATGCACCTATTTATGGATTAAATTTGTTTAAAAAAAGGTTTCGTTTTGCATGTCTAAGTCTGTATAGTGAATGAGACTGATCCTATAGAGAACATAGTGAGCATGTAAAGATAATCAAATGCATACAAACCAGCAGCAAGAATTATATTTACAATGGCTTGGTTTTGGCTTTGGCACTTCTTGAATTTTTCTTTTGAGTTATTTTTTATTAGATGTATTTAAAAATTACTTTTTAAAATAGGAATGTGGAGAAAAACAGGGTCAAATTGAACGAGCCATTAGAGAAAAGAGAGCTGTGGAAGAAGAACTTGAAAAGGTAAGGCAACTGCATGCATTTTTGCATCACGTTTAAGATCTCTTTTCAGAAAGAAAAGATAAATTGACTTTTCCCATTTCTCATGGGGGTTTTTTTCCCTGAATTTTCTTATTTTATTTTTTGAGTAGATTTTCTTATTTGTAAATTTTTGTGTATTATTTTAAGGTTTGGGTTTTTTAAATTCAGAAAGTGTTTCAAAGTTGTAATACTAAGCTGAAAAAGAGGGTTCTTTGATAAGTGTAGAAGTAAAAGGAGAGATGATTGACATAATCCAAAAGAATGTTGGTACATATTCCAGTTAAACTTAAGCTCAGTAGACAGAAAACTACATGAATGCCAGATCTTTGAAAACTTTTTTTCCAAGTAGCAGCAACAGTGATAGAAATTCAGTTTTGTTTTAAATCACTGGAAAATAGGATGCAATGAGGAGTAAGTAGCCTCCTTGTCAGTACTAAAGTGCCAATCACCAGTGCAAGGTGAAGATGATCTTACATGTTAAGTTTACTCTTCAGATTTACAGGGAAGACAGAGGACATGAATCTGACAGTAGAAAACTAGAGCAACTGCATCAGAAATATTTACTTGCAGAAACTACAAAAGGTGACCTTCAGCTAAGTCTACAGACAACACAAAATAAACTGAAACAACTGGAAATGAAGTAAGTAATGGATGTTACAGAAATTAGAACGGAAAACAATGGAAATTATTTCTGACTATTTAAATTGTTGATTATGCGTTAGGTTTTTGTCACATCTTTTTAACCAGTAGCAGGAATAGTGTCAAGATACTGTAATTCTGAAGCAAGGGCAATTATGAATCATTGTAAAAGAATTAGAGGGCATAACGTGCTATAGAATGAAAGATTTTCTTTACAAGATGAGAACTGCAAGCAGCTGTTTGACAAAAAAAATTAAAATAGGAGTATATTATTTGGAATCTTGCTGCATTTTTAAATACTGTTTGTAGGAAAAGTTACTCTATGAAATATTGGGGCAGAATTTATTACTTTATATATTCATCTACAGGGTGGTATCTCCTAGTACATGCAGAACACCGTGTTTACATAGCATACTGAATTTCAGGTCTGTGTGTTCAGAGCTAATAGACATTATTGCAGTTCCAGTAATACAATGGTAAAAAGTAAATATGGTGCACATTTTTAGACCAGGTGGTTGTTTTCAGCATGAAAAGTGTGGAATTGTTTAGAAGCTTCAGTCATTTCTGCACTCTGATAATCGTAAATCCTGTCACTTCGCCAGAGCAATCCTCAGTTGGGAATCTGGAAACATAAAAATGAAAATCTTCTATTTCACATTGTCATTTTACTGAGATTGCTACAGTATTAGGTTGGTTTTATGAATGCCATCATCTTGATAAAATTCTTTGCTGACTGGTGCATAGTTGTAGCTGTCAAGCCCTTAAACATGCTGAGCTGATACAAACTTTCAGGAAGAAACATGGGAACAGCTGTGCTGGGTCACACCAAAGATCTGTCCCAATATATCTTTTTTTTCTTTAGTAGGGTGGTTGTTCAACTCTTGAGTTCCTACAAGACTTTTCTTCTCTTTCAGCTCTGAGGAAGAGAAATCTCGTTGCCAGGAAGTTATCTGTAAATTGCAAAGCATTCTGGATTCAGAAAGAGAGAAGAGTGCCTTTGTCAGTGAACAAAGGCTAAAACTTCAGCAAGAAAATGAACAATTGCAAAAAGAAATGGAGGGCTTGAGAAAACTGGCCATAGAGGCTCAACAAAAAGCTAAAATAAAGGTACGGTTTATATGTTATTCTTATTTTATCATAAGACTGATATTTGCTTAATAAGGCAGCAGTTCTAAGAGAAGAATCATTGAAAGTTTAAATTAAGGATGAAAGTTTCAATGATGCTTCCTGGTTTCTGCTTAAAAGTAATTTTGTTGTAGCATTGTGTGTCCTCAGAATCTATTGGGTAACTCAATCTCTGCTAATTAAATTGTATTTAATTATAAGAAGATCCCAAATGTTCTTTGCTTTTTGTAAGATGAATAGATTAAATAATAACATATTTTCCTTCAAGTGACTTCACTTATTCCACTTCCAGGTCTTCATTTATCTGCTGTCTGTAATGTGTTAGGAATCTCTGTATGACTTTCAGTCCAGGGCATTCCTCTACTTGTATGTCCACCACATTGTCAGAGCAGTGTGTATCTAATTAATTTAATAGTGTGGCTGTCAAACATTGGTTCTGTATTTTCTGGACTGAGAACATTTTACTGTACGGATAGCTGCAAACAAGATAATTAGCTGAAGGATGATTGCTCTTTTTGAACGTGTTCTATTAAATGCACCTGAGCAGGCTGCAGGTAGGGTAATGAATTAATAGTAACCTCAGCAGATTCATGGTACCTTTGGCTTCTGGAGGGAGTAACAGCTTTGATCCTTGATGTGCTTTCTAAACATATAAAGCTGGTACTTGCTTCTCTGCTCTTAACTCCAGGAGTGTAAAGATACTGAAAAGGGATCTAAGAATCTGCAGCACTGAAGACCACTTCAGTAAGCAGTTTTACAGGTTATGAATGGGGACCATCTCAAATCCGGTTTCCACGTTGCACCACAAGATAAAGGAAGCAGTTGAACGAAACAGGAAATCTTGTTCCAACTCCAGAACCCTTTGGTCAAATATAGTTTAAAAACAAAGGATCAGAGTCTTGTAACAGATAGGTAGCGGTTATAAAGCATGTACCAGATCTTTGTCTGTCTCATTTTTAATCAGACAGGCTTCCATTATAGTCACAGTTAAGATTTATTGCTTGCTTTCATTTTCCTCTGATGTACAAAGGGTTTTAGATGCAGTTAAGAAACTCCTCACATGTTTTAGCTAGATGAAAAAGAAAGAACGTGTTTCTGTGGAGAAAACACAAGGGAGAAGGATAAAGATTATTTACAAAAATAAGCATACACAGCTCATTATCCTTTATTGTCAGTTGTACTATTTTCTTAAATTGGCTTTGGGAACATGTATCTCTTTGAGCATAGAATTACAAGTTAATTATTGTATGTTACATGCTTTTAACAAATGTTTATAAATTTAACTCAAGTGTTGTTTAAAAAAAAAAAAGTAAAAAGTGAGAGACTTGACTGTACCCGATTTGTATTTTTTCTAGATAAGCACAATGGAGCATGAGCATGCTGTGAAAGAACATGGATATGAAGCTCGACTTAAGGAAATGGAAGACACCAGTCAAAAGTCTACTGCTGAACTTAGACGGCTGTTAGTAGCTCAGCAAAAAGCAACAAACCGGTGGAAAGAAGAAACAAAAAATCTTACTGAAACTACAGAAGCCAGGATCAGTAAGCTAAAGTAAGTGCAATTTTGTTCCTCTTCTGGAAGTTGTTACGGTTTTAGTTCCCGTTTGGTGCGTGACAGTAGACCTGTGGTGAAAAACCATGAAGAGCAAACCACGCAGACTAGATGATGTGCTTCCTGCAAAACAAGGAAGAGTGCTCTAAGAGAACTTTTGATGCCCTTCGTGAAGTTAGCACTGAAGTAAAAATTTTGCATCATGTTGATGTGTGTGAATTTTGTAATGACAAAAAGTAAATGGAATATATTACTTTTAATTTTGTCTTTCAAGATATAGCACGGTCAATTTAGAGAATTTTAGCTTTGGATTATGAAAACCTCTATATTGATAGCTATTCAGAACAGTCACTACAAAATCAGTTGCGGAGCGAGTCTCCAGACTTCTAAAATAAGCTGGAAAAAACCTACTGGGATGCACATCTTACGTTCTCTTCTGAGCAGTTGCTGTCATAAATGAGGATACAAATGTCTTGTGTGATTGCCCTAAGCAAAAATATGATACAAACTTTACTTTGCTCTTAATTCGTACAGGTTGCCAGGTAACTAGCTGATGCTCGTATTCCCAGCACAGACTGTAAGAATATTTTCATTTTTGAAAGGGTGTAATAACAAGGGCGTCTCACGCAACAGACACAGATTACATATCATTTCTAGATGCTGGGGAATACAAGCACCTATGGTGCCTGTGAGCCTGTATACAGACAGACATCAACTGGTTTAGAGAAGACGGTGGTGTTACTGGAAATGAGTGAGTAGAGAAGGAACTGTCCCAATGAGAAATTAGCCGTTTGCAAGTTATGTCTGAAATAAATTGTACAAAATTATCTTTGTTTTAAATGCATGCTGCTGTAGATGGTGTTTGCTTCTACTTGGATGTTAATATCCATTAAAAAAATGTTGAGAATCCACACTGATCAGTTTATGAAATTAAGTAGATAGAGCATCTACATTCATCTTGGTTTCCCTTTCCACTGTGTGGACACATTGCACAGTGTTAAAATGTAAATGAATTGATCTGTGCGCAGTGGATTTGTAGTGGCTTTCCTTTTCTGGTATTGCCTTCCTCCACCTCAGCTTCCTTGCATGTCTTGTGTTTAGTTGGCAAGTAACAGCCAAACTGTGGCTAGTTGCGAGCTGACAGACACACTCACGCACTCACTCTGGTTAGCCAGCTAGCTGGTGCTTTATGTCCTCAAGATCTCTTCCTCTTCAAAATTGGGTGAAAATTGGAGGAGATTGACAGGCTGGTACACAGTAACTTCTAAACTAGGAAGCCTGATTTCGTAAGTCTCATTTCTTTAAAATTAAAATGGATAGAGAAGAATATAACATCGCATATATCATTATCTTTTAGGTAGTGCATTCAGTGGTTTTTAGAAGAAAAATTGAGGGCATGCAGCTCTGTTAATTTGAGAAACTTGAAATGACCCTTTAACTTTAGTCACTTAAAGCGCAGGATACACTCATGTATAGTTCTTTGCTCAGACTGATTTTAGAAGTTGCTTATTACCATGTTAACAAGGAAGCAAAGCTTTTGCCCTATTAAAATTGGAAACCTGTGAATTCTAGCTTTTACTTTCTTTGGAGTAATCTTTGGATTTTTCATGTTTTATTATTATAATGGTTTACATATTCTCAGCTCGAACCATAATATTTCCAGTATCCTATGCAATTTTTGGAGTCACAATTTTTTAGGCATAACTTGACATTTCTTCGTTGTCAGAATGCCAATGGTGTGAGCGGAATTAGGATCCACGTTTCTAAACATGAGCAAGGAAAATAACTTCCTGAAAATGTTGCCTATAACAAATCTCCCTACCACTACTCCAACTTGGTTTTCCATCTTTTTTAGAGAAGTATGTGAACTTGACCTCCAGTAGTCTTGTGTGTAGTAGTGCTTCCCTTTAAAGAGGAATGAAACTAGTTTCAAAGTGACACAGTGTCTATCATAACTAGTTGTACCTATTGTCTGTCCAAATACAGGAATGCTATGAGTTCCATCCTGCTTGAAAAACAAGAATGATTGATAAAACTTTTCTTGATGACCTTTCTGTTTTACTAGCAGCTTCACTGATCTGCTTTTCATTCTTTCGGGTGCTCTTTTTCTGAGTGTTCAGAACACTTTGTAGTAGTAGTGGATTGTTACCTATGATAACTAGTTCAGTTCAAATTTTTCAGATAGTTCAAAATCATTCTAAATCCAATTAGAGATAACATTTTTGCCAATCCTTCTAGAAAAACAAGTCCTACATAATCGCTCTGGTCATTTTTATCTCTCCTAAGTAAGCAGTACCGGGTTTTTTACCTTATCTGTCCAGATATAAGCTGTCTGTGTTTTGCCTTAAAATACACTGCATTTTGCAGAGATTACTAAACAGTTCTTTGAAAAGCCAATAAGTCTCTTTCAGAAGTCATCGCAGTGTTGAGCACATCTGTGAGACACTGGGAGCTGTGCTTATTCACTGACAGTTTCAGTGGTATAGCTTCACTGTATGTAGTTAGCTGGGTCTTACTAATACTTTTTTGACATCTTTTGTAAATGCAGTAACTAGAGAAGAAAAATATTTTGTAGTGTTTCATGCTAAGGTAAATTTTAGCTGTTAAACTTGTAGTTTATTTTCTGTAAATGAAACTACAAAAACTCTCACAGTTGAGCATCTAGGTTCATAACCAGATCCTGAATGTAGTTCAGCAACTTCCAATTAAAAGGGAAAAATTGCAGACTTCCAAAACAATTAAAGTTGTCTGTGAAACAGCTGCTTTCCTTCTTAAAGCTTTAATGTTAAGTGTTAAAATGTTGTTATAGCAGACCAAAAGCTTTAGACCTTATTTATCTGCAGCAAAATGCTGACATAGAAAATGTAACAGACATGAGAGGAAGTCTGCTTTGTGAATCTGCATGAAAAATAGGTAGTAAATTTTGAAAATGTCTCTGTTTATGTGAGAGACTGCCTATGTGGCATCATCTGGAAAACTCCTGCAGTAATTTAACATCGTGTATCAGAGAATACTGCCTGACAAGCAGAATAGAAAAAATGTTCATCTTATATTAAAAATTGTAAGTCTACACTAAGTCCATGTGATTCTCTGTGACTTCAGTAGATATTTTGATGCAAGTCTAAAAGCAAAGTCAGTTACTTTTTAAAATGTTTTCATAGGTGATGCTTTTACATACTGTATAAGCTAATAGCAGAAGATTTTATCAGACGTTTGCTTTACCTAACAAGGAAGGTGGCAATAGAAACAAGTTTGTTCTCTGCTAGAAGGTTGTAATTTAAACTGACATAAAGAATTTCATAATTAAATCTGCACAGTGGTGCTCTGATATTACGGTGACAAGTGGCTGTTAACACAACCTATAAGTATTATCTAGAAAATTTAAAACCAGCTTATTTTTCACGTTTTATGCTTTACCAGACACCTAGCTATATAGTCCAGAATGCAGTTGGTATGAAGATTAGCTCCTGAATTACACAGTAGTAGTTACTCAATGCAAAGTCCTTGCTTATATTATAAATGAATAATTATCATATTTGTTTTAATCTTATCACAATAACATTTTGAGTATTTTGAGTGCAAGTACAAATGGCAAATCACTTCTTACATTGTTGTGAACTAAAATAAAGTTTCTGATTATTTAAAAAGCAAAATAATTTTGCAGCAAATGCATTTATCACGGAAGTATCGGCAAGACCACTAAATAATAGACTGATACCGGACAAGCAGGATCTACTGAATTAAAGGCTCTGTTTGAAAGTCCCCTTGAGGCTAATGCAGGAAATGCTATCACCAAGCCTTATAGCAGGGTCCAAGTGAAAGGCCGATGTTCAGCCAGCTTTCTTATATACATAGATTTTTAAGTTTATGTAGTTTTGAGAGGGTTAGTTAAGCTGTGAGCTTGTAAGGAAAACTTAGTATCTTCCTTGGAAACTTCATCTTGTCTCAACTGGGCAGCAAGGCTATGAACTTAGATGAAGATATCAACATACCCTTTTGGGATTTAAATAGAGAGCTCTCCAAGTTCAGCAGCGTATCACAGTTATTTAGTATATTTTGAGTACAGTCTGAGACATTCCTTGGCACTTCATGACATTACTGTTTGATGTATCGGATTCATGTAAATATGTGAGCAAAGACAGAGATTGTGTTGGTGATGTGTAGCTGAATTTTAGTTTTTAATAAGAATTACTACTCTTACAGCATAGTAATGTGCTTTATAAGTGAATGTTTTTCAGGAAGTTACAAACTTCCTAACAAAGTCATATCCATGTATACTGGGGAGGTAGTTTACATAAAAGCGTTTTATATTGCATTTCACCAGAAGTTTGCTGTTAGGGCAGCTCTCGTAAGCATTGAGTCAGTGTCGCATTTGTTAGTGTAGGTGTTTCCCATTCCTTTGCCTTAAATTCATGATCTGTTGCTGTTTTTCAGTTCTATCCTCATTACTTTCATTTTCCATATGAAGGTGTCTGAAACATTTTGGCTTCTTTACTAACTTCCCAGCAGCTGCTGCTAACTTTTCCATATTCTGTGCTGCTCATTTGTCATCATTTAAGTCTGCAGTGTTTTGTTTGTGAGGTGTAATCCATATGCATAAAGGAAGCATTAAATAAATACTTCCAAGAAATGAAGCAACATCAGTGAACATTAGGTGATTTTTAATTTTAAAAAAATTAAGGAAAAGTAAATTTTGCAACCTGTAACAGTAGAGCAGAGTGATCATTTTTAAATAACATGAGAATCTAGTAGGTCAGTGAATAACCTGTATATTAAAATGTTGATAAATAAGTTGATACTTCCAGGCATCACTGAAAATTATTCTGTGCTTTCTTGGACATTTGGGTCTCAGTTCAAGTTAAACATGTAATTGTTGCCTATAAAACTGAACTTGGAATTAAAAAACAGTGCTGAAACAGTAGGTAATGCATTGAATACTTGTAGAGTAAATTCCACCATTTTCTTCATAAAAATACATTACAGTCTTCATATATGAGAAG